GGACTTGTTAGTGTTAGGTCAGAGGTTGGACTCGATGATCTTGAGGTCTCTTCCGACCTAGATAATTCTGTGATTCTGTGATAACAGGGCCAAGAGCCTTGGGGCGAATAGGGCTCAACCCAACCTCGTTGGGGTGTGTGTGGGGTGGTGAATGAGGCATGAATGGGGCAGGGGCCCTCAGCAAGGCCTTTCCCAAGGCCTTTCCACCCTCAGCCAAGTCCACAGCCCTTCCAAATTTGGTGTTGTCAGCAAATTTGCCCCAAAACACCTTCTAGTCCTACATCCACATGGTTTATAAAGACATTGAAGAGCAGTGGCCCTAAAATGGGGCCTGAGGAGCCCCCGCTATTGAACATCCGCCAGCCTGATGCGGCCCCATTTCCTACAACCCTTTGAGGCCTGCCCGTAACAGGGCTCAAGGAGGCCAAGAGCCCCGGGGGCAATAGGTCTCAACCCAACCCAAAATGTGTGTGCGGGGGAGTGAATGGGGCAGGAACGACACCAGCACCTGCCCTGAGAAACAGTCGGACTGGGAACGGATCAAGGCAGGGGGCGACCCCGGGGAGCAGCAGAGGGCTGTGGGGCTGCGGGACCGGGTATCGAGGGCAGGAGCCGGGCGAGCACGGGGCAGAGGCGGTGCTGGGCACAGAGGAGCCGAGGCGCAGGAGCCGGAGCTGCTTCAGGAGCCCTGCGGGGAGAGAGCAGGGGGTGAGCGGGTGGGGGGCAGCGCCCCAGCCCTGTGCCCCACGGCCCCCCAGGGCCGCGCTGCCTGTGGGCCCCGGGGTGCTGCCCTGGTGCTGGGAGGGGGCAAGGGGAAGCAGCCCGCACGGGGAGGGTGCAGCAGGGCCACGGGTGGGGGACGTTACCTGCAGCCGGGGGAGCGATGCGCCCTGCAACACAGCGAGACCAGGTCAGCAGCAGCGCGGGGGGAGAGCGCGGCCCCCCCAGCCCCACGCCACCCCCAGCGCCGCGGCCGCTCACCTTTCTGCGCACGTAGAGGAAGAGCCCCAGCGCCAGGAAGATGAGCCCCAGCACCAAGCCCCCGACGCCCGTCAGCATCTTGCCCCTGGCGGCATCCGCTGGGAGCACTGCGGGGACAGGAGCAGGGGCTCAGGCCCGGGGCCGTGCTCCCGCTCCCCTCCTGCAGCAGGCTGGGGGCTCGGGACCCTCGGGCCAGGAGGCATTGGCCAGGGCCTTACCCCATTCGATAGGTGATGGGACTTTTCAGGCTGGCGTGCTGCACGTGGCACTCGTAGGTGTCCCCGTGCTGCGGGGTGCTTTCCAGCATCACCAGCACCTGGTAGGTCCAGTCCCCGTTCTGGATCACGTCCGTGGACACCACGTGCTTCGTCTCCTCCTGGCCGTTCTTGAACCACTTCACCTGGATCTCGGCGGGGTAGAAGCCCGTCACGTAGCACGCCAGCCTGTCGGTCTGGGGCAGCGAGCTCGACTGCATGGGAGAGACCCTCACCTTGGGCTCAACTGCGGGGAGAGGGAGAGAGCTGGGCGCGGGCGGCGAGAGCCCAGCGCTCACCTGCACCGCTGCCCCCGGCACCGGGCGGGACGGGGATGGATGCGCTTCCCCCCCGGGATGTGCCTGGTCCTCAGGGTGCAGAGGACGCCCAGCCCCAGCAGCCCCGGGCTCGTGTCCACGCACCTCTCCTGTGCAGGATGTAAGTGTCCGACACCTCATAGTTGTGCCGGCAGAACCTGCCTACTGCAGTCCGCGCGTTCTCCAGTACTTCGGGCCGACTGTTCCAGTAGTCAGCTGTAGGCTTGCCCAGTTCCGTGTCAGCCACATAATGCCCCACATCGCTGTCAAAGTGCGCGTACTGCTGCCGGTTGTAGATATACGTGTCCAGAAACCTCACCCGCTCGGTGCCATTGAGGTAGTGACACTCAGACACAGTCAAGTAGTGGAAGAACCCTGTATGGGCAGGGCAGGTTAGGGGGTACCGCTCCCCCTTCCCAGGCCCCCAGCCCCCATCAGATGCCCTGGAGCCCCCTCCCCACCCTCCAGCCCCCTCCCCACTCCCCTCCCAGCCACCGTGACAGCAACGCCGTGACCCTGACCCCCTGGAGCCACACATGCAGGGGATGGGAAGAGTCCAAGGGGCTCCTGGGGAGGGTCCTGGGGGCAGAAGGGGACAGGAGATGGGGGAGCACAGGGAAGGAGCCCAGAAGAGGGAGTCAGGACGCAACAGAGCCCCAGGGTGGGGGCAGCACCCCCGCAGCTCCCTGAGGCCCCCCCAAAACCCTCTGCTCCCATGCTTCCAGGGCAGAGACCAAGGCAGTTGCTGCGGATGCCCACACCCCGTGTGGTGGTGCCAGGGCAAAGACCCCTGCCCCCCAACCCACCTCCCCCCCAGCAGCCACACGTGGGATCCTGCCCCACGGCGTGGGGCTGAGCTCACCCTTGGTCTCCTCGCCTCCAGCCGGGCGGGCTCCCAGCACCACCAGTGCCACCAGCACGGCCCCAGCTCCCAGGATGCGGCCGCTCCCCATGGCTGCTGGGCACAGGATGAGGGGTGCCGGGACCCCAGGCAAGGCAAGACTCCACCCAGTGCTGGCACTGGGCCTCCCAGTTACAACCAGTGAGCAGCGGGGCTGCGCAGCATCACCCGTCACCAGGCAGAACCTGACCCCAGAGGGCACCCTCTGACACTTGTCCCTGAGCTACAAAGGTGTTGGAGGAGGAACCTCACGAACCGGGACGGAAGGGGCTTTGGACCCCCCAGGGGGCACCAAGAGCCACTGGTGTGGGTGTGGGGTCCCAGTGCCCCGGGACAGGAGAGGAGCAGCAAGGGACACGGGCACCCAGCCCACAGCACCGGTCACTTCCCTGTGGGAAACCTCAAGGAGGCCGAGCCCCGGGGGAACAGAATCATAGACTGATGGAATATCCCGAGTTGGAAGGGATCCAGGAGGATCATTGAGTCCAGCTCCTGGCACCGCACAGGCCTACCCAAAATTTAGACCCTGTGACTAGGTGCCCAGTCCAATCACTTCTTGAACTCTGACAGGCTTGGTGCGGTGCCTGCTTCCCCGGGGAGCCTGTTCCAGTGTGTGATACCCTCTTGGTGAAGAACCTCTTCCTGATGGCCAGCCTGAACCTCCCCTGCCTCAGCTTGACACCATTCCCTCGGGTCCTACAACTGGTGACTAAAGAGAAGAGATCAACGCCTGCCCCATCACTCCCCCTTGTGATTAAATTGTAGACCGCGATGAGGCCTCCCCTCATCCTCCTCTTCTCCAGGCTGAACAGGCCCAGTGACCTCTGCCTCTGCTCATACATCTTCCCCTCTAGGCCCTTCACCGTCTTTGTGGCCCTTCTCTGGACACTCTCCAACAGATTTACATCCTTTTGTACCGTGGTGGCCAGAACAGCACACAGTGCTTGAGGTGAGGCCGCAGTGGCCTTGCTCTTGTTAAACTGCATGCAGTTGGTGATCGCCCAGCTCTCCCATGTGTCCAGATCCCTCCGCAAGGCCTTCCCACCCTCAGCCGAGTCCACAACTCCTCCAAGTTTGGTGTCGTCGTCAAATTTGCTCCATACACCTTCATGGCCTACATCCACATGGTTTATAAAGACATTGAAGAGGACGAGGCCTAAAATGGAGCCTGAGTGGACTGAGGGGACCCCACTAGTGACCATCCGCCAGCCTGAAGCGTCCCTGTTTCTCACGACCCTTTGAGACCTGCCCATAACTCAAGAAACTGGCTGCTTGTGGCTTGGACTGGCGCACGCTTCGTTGGGTTAAAAACTGGCTGGATAGCCAGGCCCCAAGGGTTGTGGTGAATGGAGTCAAATCCAGTTGGAGGCCAGTCACTAGTGGCGTCCCCCAGGGCTCGGTGCTGGGGCCGGTCCTCTTTAATATCTTTATTGATGATCTGGATGAGGGCATCGAGTGCTCCCTCAGTAAGTTTGTAGATGACACCAAGCTAGGTGCGTGTGTCGATCTGCTTGAGGGTAGGAAGCTCTGCAGGAGGATCTGGATAGGCTGCACCGATGGGCTGAGGTCAACTGCATGAAGTTCAACAAGGCCAAGTGCCGGGTCCTGCACCTGGGGCGCAATAACCCCAAGCAGAGCTACAGGCTGGGAGATGAGTGGTTGGAGAGCTGCCAGGCAGAGAAGGACCTGGGAGTGATGGTGGACAGTCGGCTGAATATGAGCCAGCAGTGTGCTCAGGTGGCCAAGAAGGCCAACGGCATCCTGGCTTGTATCAGAAACAGTGTGACCAGCAGGGCTAGGGAGGTGATCGTCCCCCTGTACTCGGCTCTGGTAGAGGCCGCACCTCGAGTACTGTGTTCAGTTTTGGGACCCCTCGCTACAAGAAGGACATGGAGGTGCTTGAGTGAGTCCAGAGAAGGGGGACGAAGCTGGTGAGGGGCCTGGAGAACAAGTCCTACGAGGAGCGGCTGAGGGAGCTGGGCTTCTTCAGCCTGGAGAAGAGGAGGCTCAGGGGCGACCTTATTGCTCTCTACAGATACCTCAAAGGAGGCTGTAGCGAGGTGGGGGTTGGTCTGTTCTCCCACGTGCCTGGTGACAGGACGAGGGGGAACAGAGTAAAGTTGCACCAATGCAGTTTTAGGTTAGATGTTAGGAAGAACTTCTTTTCTGAGAGGGTTGTGAGGCGTTGGAATGGGCTGCCCAGGGAAGTGGTGGAGTCACCATCCCTGGAGGTCTTTAAAAGACATTTAGATGTAGAGCGTAGTGATATGGTTTAGTGGAGGACTTGTTAGTGTTAGGTCAGAGGTTGGACTCAATGATCTTGAGGTCTCTTCCGAACTAGATAACTCTGTGATTCTGTGATAACAGGGCCAAGAGCCTCGGGGCGAATAGGCCTCAACCAAATCCCGTGTGTGTGTGGGGTGGTGAATGGGGCATGAATGGGGCAGGGGCCCTCAGCAAGGCCTTTCCCAAGGCCTTTCCACCCTCAGCCGAGTCCACAGCCCTTCCAAGTTTGGTGTTGTCAGCAAATTTGCTCCAAACACCTTCTAGTCCTACATCCACATGGTTTATAAAGACATTGAAGAGGACTGGCCCTAAAATGGAGCCTTGTTGGACACCACTAGTGACCATCCACCAGCCTGATGCGGCCCCATTTCCTACAACCCTTTGAGGCCTGCCCGTAACAGGGCTCAAGGAGGCCAAGAGCCCCGGGGGCAATAGGTCTCGACCCAACCCAATATGTGTGTGCGCGGGGGAGTGAATGGGGCAGGAACGACACCAGCACCTGTCCCCAGAAACAGCCGGGCTGGGAACGGATCAAGGCAGGGGGCGACCCCGGGGAGCAGCAGAGGGCTGTGGGGCTGTGGGACCGGGTATCGAGGGCAGGAGCCGGGCGAGCACGGGGCAGAGGCGGTGCTGGGCACGGAGGAGCCGAGGCGCAGGAGCCGGAGCTGCTTCAGGAGCCCTGCGGGGAGAGAGCAGGGGGTGAGCAGCGGGTGGGGGGCAGCGCCCTAGCCCTGTGCCCCATGAATCCCCAGGGCCACGCTGCCTGTGGGCCCCGGGGTGCTGCCCTGGTGCTGGGAGGGGTCAAGGGGAAGCAGCCCGCACGGGGAGGGTGCAGCAGGGCCGCGGGTGGGGGACGTTACCTGCAGCCGGGGGAGCGATGCGCCCTGCAACACAGCGAGACCAGGTCAGCGGCACCGCCCTGTGCCCCATGGCCCCCCCAGCCCCACGCCACCCCCAGCGCCGCGGCCGCTCACCTTTCTGCGCACGTAGAGGAAGAGCCCCAGCGCCAGGAAGATGAGCCCCAGCACCAAGCCCCCGACGCCCGTCAGCATCTTGCCCCTGGCGGCATCCGCTGGGAGCACTGCGGGGACAGGAGCGGGGGCTCAGGCCCGGGGCCGTGCTCCCGCTCCCCTCCTGCAGCAGGCTGGGGGCTCGGGACCCCCGGGACGCCCCCAGGAGGCAGGGGTCGGGGCCTTACCCCATTCGTAGGTGATGGGGCTTTTCAGGCTGGCGTGCTGCACGTGGCACTCGTAGGTGTCCCCGTGCTGCGGGGTGCTTTCCAGCATCACCAGCACCTGGTAGGTCCAGTCCCCGTTCTGGATCACGTCCGTGGACACCACGTGCTTCGTCTCCTCCTGGCCGTTCTTGAACCACTTCACCTGGATCTCGGCGGGGTAGAAGCCCGTCACGTAGCACGCCAGCCTGTCGGTCTGGGGCAGCGAGCTCGACTGCATGGGAGAGACCCTCACCTTGGGCTCAACTGCGGGGAGAGGGAGAGAGCTGGGCGCGGGCGGCGAGAGCCCAGCGCTCACCTGCACCGCTGCCCCCGGCACCGGGCGGGACGGGGATGGATGCGCTGCCCCCCCGGGATGTGCCTGGCCCCCAGGGTGCAGAGGACGCCCATCCCCACCAGCCCCGGGCTCGTGTCACGCACCTCTCCTGTCCACGGTGAAAGAGGCCATAAAGTAATTGTATCGGCAGAATGTGTCTACTCTAGCCCGCATGTCCTCCGTTATTTTGGGCTGATTGTTCCAGTCGTCAGCTATAGGCTTGCCCAGTTCCGTGTCAGCCACAAAATGCCCCACGTTGCTGTCAAAGTGCGCGTTCTGCTGCTGGTTGTAGATGTCCCTGTACAGGTATCTCACTCGCTCGGTGCCGTTGAGGTAGTGACACTCATCCACCGTCAAGTAGTGGAAGAACCCTGTATGGGGAGGGCAGGTTAGGGGGTCCCACTACCCCTTCCCAGCTCCCCAGCAGATGCTCTGGGGCCCCTCCCCACCTTCCAGCCCCCTCCCCATCCCCATTCCCCTCCAAACCGAGGTGACACCGATGCCGTGACCCTGACCCCCTGGAGCCCCACATGCTGGGGATGGGAAGAGGCCGAGGGGCTCCTGGGGAGGGTTCTGGGGGCACGAGGGGACAAGAGATGGGGGGAGCACAGGGAAGCAGCCCAAGGGAGGGAGCCAGGATGCAACAGGGCCCCAGGGTGGGGGCAGTACCCCCGCCGCTCCCTGAGCCCCCCCAAAGCCCTCTGCTCCCAGGCTTCCAGGGCAGAGGCCGAGGCAGTGGCTGTGGATGCCCACACCCCGCGTGGTGGTGCCAGGGCTGAGGACCCCCCCCCCATCACACCTCCCCCCCAGCAGCCACACGTGGGATCCTGCCCCACGGTGTGGGGCTGAGCTCACCCTTGGTCTCCTCGCCTCCAGCCGGGCGGGCTCCCAGCACCACCAGTGCCACCAGCACGGCCCCAGCTCCCAGGATGCGGCCGCTCCCCATGGCTGCTCTGCACAGGATGAGGGGTGCCGGGACCTCAGTCAAGGCAAGACTCCACCCAGTGCTGGCACTGGGCGTCCCAGTTACAACCAGTGAGCAGCGGGGCTGCGCAGCATCACCCGTCACCAGGCAGAACCTGACCCCAGAGGGCACCCTCTGACACTTGTCCCGAGCTACAAAGGTGTTGGAGGAGGAACCTCAAGAACCGGGAGGGAAGGGGGTTTCGACCCCCCAGGGGGCACCAAGAGGCACTGGTGGGGGTGTGGGGTCCCAGTGCCCCGGGACAGGAGAGGAGCAGCAAGGGACACGGGCACCCAGCGCACAGCACCGGTCACTTCCCTGTGGGAAACCTCAAGGAGGCCGAGCCCCGGGGGAACAGAATCATAGACTGATGGAATATCCCGAGTTGGAAGGGACCCAGGAGGATCATCGAGTCCAGCTCCTGGCACCATACAGGTCTACCCAAAAATTCAGACCTTGTGACTAAGCGCACAGTCCAAAGGTTTCTTAAATTTAGGCAGGCTTGGTGCAGTGAGTGCTTCCCTGGGGAGCCTGTTCCAGTGTGCGACCACCCTCTCGGTGAAGAATCTCTTCCTGATGGCCAGCCTGAACCTCCCCTGCCTCAGCTTGATGCCATTCCCTCGGGTCCTACCACTGGTGACTAAAGAGAAGAGAACGATGCCTGCCCCATCACTCCCCCTTGTGAGGAAGTTGTGCACCACGATGAGGTCTCCACTCAGCCTCCTCTTCTCCAGGCTGAACAGGCCCAGTGCCCTCAGCCACTCCTTGTACATTCTCCTCTAGGCTCTTCACCGTCTTCGTTGCCCTCCTCTGGACACTCTCCAATGGTTTAATGTCCTTTTGTACTGGGAGTCTCGGTGGTGGGGGTCTGGTACAGGTCTCCAGATCAGGAGAAGGAAGTTGATGAGGCCTTCTACGAGCAGCTCTTAGTAGCCTCACGGTCACGAGCGCTGGTCCTCATGGGGGACTCCAATTCCCCCAACATCTGCTGGGTAAGCACCTTGGCCAGGCATGAGGAGACCAAACAATGCGTTGAGGACAATTTTCTGACACGGGTGGTGGAGGAGCCGACAAGGCGGGGGGTGCTCCTGGACCTCGTTCTTCCCAACAGGGATGGGCTCGTTGGGGACGTGAAGGTTGGGGGCGATGCTTGGGATGCAGCGACCAGGAGACGGTGGAGTTCCAGACGGAACTTTGAGCCAATTTTGACCTCTTCTAGGACCTGCTTGGGAATATCTCATGGGCTAGGTTGCTAGAAGGGAAGGGTGGTTGTGAGAGCTGGGGTACATTTAAGTAGTACTTCCTCCATGCTCAGGATCAGTGCATCCCGAGAAATAGGAAATTGGGGAATTGGGGCAGGAAATCCATATGCATGAGCAAGGAGCTCATCGATAAGATGAAAAGGAAGAGGATGGTCTATGAAAGGTGGAAAAAGGGCCTGTCCTCTTGGCAGGAGTATAGATGTGTTGTCAGGGCCTGCAGGGACGTGACGAGGAAGGCTAAAGCCCACCTAGAGATGAGGCTTGCGAAAGAGATAAAGGATAATAAGAAGGTTTTTTTCAAGTATGTAAACAGCAAGAGGAAGACTAAGGATAATGTAGGTCCCCTACTGAATGAGGGGGGTGTCCTGGTCACAGGAGATGCCGAGAAGGCAGAGATACTGAACGCTTTCTTTGCGTCAGTCTTTGCTTCAAGGACACTCCCCCAGGACTCCTCGCCCCTGGCAATAGGACAAAGGGTCTGGGAAATGGAGGGCTCCCCCCTGGTGGACGTGGGAGTGGTTCGGGAGTGTCTGAGCGGGCTCAATGCACACAAATCCACGGGTCCTGATGGGATGCATCTGCGCGTGCTAAGGGAGCTGGCAGATGTGATTGCTGAACCGCTCTCTATCGTCTTTGAAAGGTCCTGAAGAAGGTCCTTTGGTCTTCAAGAAGGGCAGGAAGGAGGATCCATGAAACTACAGGCCAGTCAGTCCCACCTCTGTCCTTGGAAAGGTGTTGTAAGAGCCTGTACTGGATGCCATCTCCAAGCAATTGGAAGAGAAGAAGGTTACGAGGAGCGGTCAGCATGGATTCACCAAGGGGAAGTCGTGCTCCACCAACCTCGTTGCCTTCTACGATGGCATCACCAGCTGGGGAGATGGGGGGAGAGTGGTGGATGGCATCTACCATGGCTTTAGCAAGGCTTTTGATGCTGTCTCCCATGACATCCTGGAGATATTTGAGGCCCATCTGGACACCCACCTGGGCAGCCTGCTCTGAGGACCCTGCTTTGGCAGGGGGGTTGGACCCGATGATCTTTTGAGGTCCCTTCCAACCCCTACAATTCTGTGATTCTGGGAGTCCAAAGCACCTCCAAGTTTGGTGTCGTCGGCAAATTTGCTCCAAACACCTTCCAGTCCTACATCCAAATCATTTATAAAGACATCGAAGAGGACTGGCCCTAAAATGGAGCCTTGAGGGACCCCACTGGTGACCATCCTCCAGCCTGATGCGGCCCCGTTAACCATAACCCTTTGAGCCTTCCCAAAACAGGGCTCAAGGAGGCCAAGAGCCCAAGGGGGGGGGAAAAAAAAGGCTCAACCCAACCCCATGCGTGTGGGGGCAGGAATGACACCGGCACCTGTCCCCAAAACAGCCCTTGTGACCACAGGGAGCCCGGCTCAACTCGAATAATATTTTCTTTATTTACATGTTAAAGAATCGAAAGGTTTGAAACATACAATAAGATGAAAACACGGCTCTAAGGGTCTAATAGTGGGGACGGGGAGGGGGGAGGAGGAGGAGGGGCGGGAGAGGGTGAAAGGAAGAGGAAGAGAGGGGAAAAAAAAAAAATAAAACGAGTAGAAAAAAATTATACAGTCAACGTAAAAAACAGGCGGCCCCTCCCTCCCCCCTGCCCCGCCGGGGAACATGCTGCCCTGCTCGTGTGCCGGGGAGGGCTATGTACAACGGGCCGGGGCCCGCGCCAGCACGACGCAGCTCAAATAAATTAAAATCCTCCACAGACAAGGGGACGGGGTCGGCGGCGGCTCCCCCCGGCCGGGGAAGGGCTGCGGCCACGGGGCGCTGCTGCCTTCCACGGCAAACCCAAATCGGGACTGTTAACCCCTTTTTTTTTTGTGTGTGTGTGTTTTTTTTTCACCTTTAAATGTTTTAAGATTTTTTTTTTTTCGTTTTTCTTATATTTTTTTTTTCTTAAAAACCCCAAACTTTTCCCCCTCGGAAAAAATCCCACAAGTCAGAAAAAAAAAAAAAACAAAAAACAAAAAAAACCCTAAAACAACAAACAGTAAAACCTGCTGGGGATGGGGTGGTGGCCGTACCCCCCCCTCCCCAAGCCCAGCCCGGCCCCAGGGGCCTGAATGTAGCCCCCCCTGCCCTGGCGATACCCGGGAACCTCCAGCCCGTGACCCCCGGCCACCCCCCCAACCCCAAGAAGTCCGTGGGGGCGTCGCTCAGGCACCGGGAGGGCTCCTCAGCACCCCCCCAGCCCACCCTGGGGGCGCAAGTTGGCCGGGCGGGGGGGCTCTCAGTCCGGTTCACGCGGGCCCGGTCCCGCAGAGCCGCTTCCGAACCTGCCCGTGGCTCCACCCGGCCGCGCCGCTCGCAGCCGTTTTGGCTGCTCCGGCCTCCTCCTCCCCCCCTAACCCGAATCCGAATCGCTGGTGTCCGAGGACGAGGATGAGGAGCTGGAGCTGCTGGAGTCCGAGCTGGAGCTGGAGGCGCTGAGCCGCGACACGGCCACCTGCTGCGCCGACTCGGGCTTCTCGCTGGCTGTAAGGTTGAGAAGAACACGCTCAGCACCTCCAGGGTCTGAAGGCAGCCAAAACGTGGCCCCCCCGATCCCTTAAATCCCACCCTACAAGCCCAGCACTCACCCTTCTTCGGGGGTTTCTTGGTGGAGTTGAGCTGGCCGCTGACGTCCTGCAAACGCTTCTCCAGCTCCCGCTTCTTTTCCAGCGCCAGCTCCTCTTTCGTCTTCCCCACCGGCTTCTTCATGGCTGTAGGGGAGGAGGAGAGGGGCTGCTCAGCTCAACCCATGGCCCCACAACCCCCAAAAGCCCCCCAAAACCTCCCCACAACTCACTTTCGCTGTAGGGCTTGCGGGGTTTCTTCCGCAGGCAGGACAGCACGTAGCGCTCCAGCTCACGCAGCGTCGAGGGCTTGAGGGTCTCGAAGTCGATCTCGATCTCCTCGGGGTTGGAATCTCGCAGGGAGGGCTCCCGGGACTGGATGATGTGCACCACCCGGCCCAATTTCTCGCCGGGCAGCTTGTTGATGTCCAAACTGAGCTGGCGTTTCTCGTCGTAGGTCATGGGCTTGCTCTCCTCCTCCTCCTCCGAGTCGTAGAGCGCCGGGGGAGGCGGCAGCGCCGCTTTCGCCGCCTTCTTCGAGTTCCTGCCAGGAGCAAAGCCTCAGAAACGCTGCAATCCCCCCAAAAAAAGCCCCCACCCCACATTCTCCCACCCCACGGGCTCCCCCCAATGCGTTCTGGCAGCACTCAGACGGTTTTTGGCTTGTTTGTCTCAAAGTCATCGCCACAGTCGATCTGACGGGGAAAGGGTCATCACCGCTGCTGCCCGCACCCCAAACCCTGCAGGGGCACCTGTGGGGCCCCCCACTCACTTGGAGCTGCCTCCGCTGCCTCCCCCGCTGGTCCCTCCGCCGCCCCCGGCCTTCTTGGCTTTGCGCAGTTGGGCCTGACGCGCCCGGGCTTCCTCGTCGCCTCCCCGGCCTTTGTGCTTCTCCGATTTCTTCTTCTTCTTCTTCTCCCGCTTCTTTTTGGGTTTGGAAACGGGGCCCTGTGAGAGGGCAGCCAGCTGCTCGTGCACGGCCCGCAGCTGTGGGGGGAGACAGGGGGGTGAGGCGGGCATGGGGAGCGGGCGCGGGTGGTGGCACCGGCCCTGCTCCGGCCCTCACCTGCTCCTGCAGCTCGGCCAGGCGGTTGGCGCGCTCCTCCTCCGAGTCCGAGCTCTCCTCGCTCTCCGACGAGCTCTCGCTGCTGCTTTCGTCCTCGTCGTCGTCTTCGTCGTCCTCATCATCCTCGTCCTCGTCGCTGGAGGACTCCTCGGATGAGGATTTGGAGAGGGCACCGGGCAGCGGCGCCGACACCGAGGGCGGGCTGGCGTCCTGCGGCTCGTCAGGCATCTTGGCGTAGCTGAACTCGAAAACATCCTGAGAAAAGTAAAAAAAAAAAATAAAATAAAAGGGTGAGGGGGGTCAGCACGGCCTTTGGGGGTCCGGCGGGGGGTTTTGGGGAGCCCACCCACCTGCAGCTTGCGGGCCATGGCCACCACGTCGTGGTCAGGGGGGGTTGTACTTGTAGCAGTTGGAGAACATTAACCGGACGTCAGCGGCGAACTCCTGCGCGTCGTGGTAGTCCCGGTTCTCCATCTTCCGCTGCGGGGAGCAAAAACGGGTGAAAACGGGTAAATTCAAGACCCCCGGCCTCCAAGAACCCCCTGTTGGGGCCCCAAAATTCGCCCCCTCCAAACCTTGATGGTGCTGAGGTCCATGGGGTGCTTGATGATCTCGTGGTAGTCGTGCAGCCCCAGGGCCGAGGCGTCGACGGGCTTGTAGAAGGGCCAGGCGTAGGCGGCGTGTTTTTTGGAGAGCAGCTCCTTGAGGATGCCGTTGCAGTACTTGAGCTGCTCCGACAGTTTGCCCTTCTTGGACGTCTGGTGCTGCTGGGAATCCGGCAAGTCCTTCTTGGGGGGTTTAATGGGGCGGCCGCTCTCGCGCCGGGCGGGGATTTTGGCCGCTTTGGCCTCCAGCAGCGTGGCCGAGGGCGAGGACTCGCCGCTGGTGGCGATGATGGCCGTGGTGGTGGGGGTGGTGGTGTCGGCTTTCCGCTTCACCCCCTTCTTCTACCGGAGGAAAAAATAAAAAAAGGGGGTGAGCGAGGACAGAAACTCTCGGAGTTTTTCCCCAAACCTCATTTTTCGTCCCAATCTCGGAGTTTTTCCCCCAAGCCTTTGTTTTTCGTCCCGATTCCTACCTTGGCCACAGGCTGGGTGGGCGCGGGGGTGGGCAGCACGGCCGGGGTGGTGGAGTGCAGCGATTTGAGGAGCGGCGCGGAGATGACAGAGGGGTGGGGAATGTTGACGATGGTGGTGGGGATGTCGGGGCTGGGGGTGTACACCGTGCTGTGCGACACCGAGGAGACGGCCGGCACTTGCTGAGCGGCCGTCAGGCCCGCCAGGAGCGCTGGGCACGGAGAGAAAAACCCAATTCCTGTTAAAATCTGACCCCAAAACGATACAAAACCCTTTTGGGGTCCCAAACCCAAGTAGCCACCCCAAAAAGTGCAACACCAACGTACCCGCTGCCCTGGACGCCCCCTTCTTGTGGCTGTTTTTAGCCACCGGGACCACGATCTCCTGCTCTTCAGGAGGCATCTGAGCCACCTTCTGCAGGAAAATCTTCTCCAGGGTTTGGGCCATCAGCACGATGTCATCCGTGGGCTGCGGGGAGGGACGGAGGCAACGTCAGGAACCACGGGGGGAGGCTCCAACCCGGCCCCCCCCCAGCCAGCGAAGCCCCCACCTTGTTGTAGATGTAGCAGTTGGTGAACATGGTGTTGAAATCCTGCATGCACTCGGCAGCCCCCCAGTAGTAGTTGTTCTCCAGGCGCCGTTTGATTGTCCCCATGTCCATGGGCTGCTTGATGATCTTGTGGTAGTCCTGCCAAAAAAAAATCGGGGGGCGCAGGGGGTCAGCTGCAAGCCAAAAATCAAAACACGCCCCTGCCCGCCCCCCTTTTGCACCCCGAGCCACCCTCGACGCGTTTTTGGGGGGGCTCGAGCTCCTGCCAGCCCCCCCGCTCACACATCCGCTCTCACTCAAAAAGCAGGCAGGGGGTGCGGCGGGTTGACAAAATAAAATAAAAACTAATAAAAATAATAATAAAAAAACTGCCTCCGGACCTGGTCCCCACCCTAGAGTGCCACCAGTCAGATTTTAATAGGGGAGGGTCCCTAGGTGAGCCCTGGAGGGGAGGGGGAGCCTAAATTTGTGGGGACGGCCTCGAGGGCCAAATGGGGCTGGGGGGGGCGACGCTAACGCTAAGGTGCAGAGCGAACCTACGTGGAATTTACCTCCGGGCTTTAAATCCTTGGGCGCCACAGGTGCACGGGGGGCTGGCGTTTATTATTGGGGTCACAGGATGTCTTCTACAAATTCATGGATGGGAATCTGCAAAACGCATTCAGGGCACAAGAGATTAGGTGGGGAGGGGGGGGGGTAGATAAGGGTAAGGGGGAGGGAAGCTTTTGGGTTCCCTCCGGAGCGGCTGCGTCACCTCACCCCTACCTGCACGGGGGGGGGGAACGGGGACGAGCCGAGCGGGCTGGCCGCCTACCGGGACCTTTATGGGGTCGGGGAGGAATTGGGGGGGCTTCAGAACCCGTAGGGTTTACGCCCCTGGGAGAAAAAGGGGGGGGGGGACAGCACAGCCCAGGCACCTGCAGCTGCATCTTTTTTTTTTGGCGGAGCCCCAGGAGGGGCCCTGGCACTCTGAGGCTTGGGGACCACGTTTTGGGGCCGGGGCGATGCTAGGTGACCCTAAAAACACCCCGTGCCTGCCTACCCGCGCCCCCCAGGGTCGGGGGCAAGCGGGGGACACACAGACACACACGCGCTCGCCCCCCTTTTACCCCCCACGTGCCCGCTGCGCCCCCCCACACCCCCCCAAAAAATAAAAAACCCAGCTCGTTACCGGCAGGCCCAGCTTGACGGCGTCGACGGGCTGGCGGAAAGGCCAAGCAAACTGGTGCTTCCACAGGGCTTTCATCACCACCTTGTGCAGGTATTGCAGCTGGTTGGTGACCCGGCCGGGTTTTTTGGGGTTGGAAACCTCCGGCGGTGGGGGGTTGACCTGAGGGGACTGCAAAGCCGGCACCGAGGCCATGGTGGGGCTCTCGAAGCCCTCGTAGAGGAGCGAGGGTTTGCGGATCCGCTTGCCGGGGGTCGATTCCGTCGCCAAGCCCATGAGGCCGGCATTGCCCTCCCCCAAAATCCTGCAGCGGGATCGGGGGGAGAAGCAGGGACACCGTTAGCGAGGCAGGCTCCGCACCACCGCTACCCAAAACATGAATAAAGACCCCAAAAAATTAAAAAATTAAGAAAAAAAAAAAAGGGCGGGCGGGAGCTGGCGCGGGTCCAGGTCCGGCGGCGAACAAAGAAGCCGGCGCGGGGGTGACGAGGGTGCCCCGAGGGGGTGGCCCTGGTGGCTTTGAGGGGGGGGTTTGGGGACCCGTTAGGAGGCGGTGGGGGGGGTGTCGCCTCCTTACGGGGGTCCCCAGAGGGGTTTTGGGGGAAAAAACAGCGCTGGGGGGGTGGGAAGGGGAGGAGGAAGCCCTAAAAGCTGAAGGGGGGGGGGGATTGGCCTCAAGGCGGCAATGGGGGACACGAATATTTGGGTGGGGGTGGGAAAAGGCAGAAATGGCCCAAAAACAGGTCTGGGGGGGGCACACAGGGGGGGCTCGCAGCCCCTCAGGGCCCCGCAGGCCACCCAAAGGGGGTGCCAAAGGACACCAGGGTGACGGAAGGACGGCGCCACAGCAAACTGGGAGCACTGGGAGGCGACTGGGAGGCAACTGGGAGAGGCCCAAGCCCACTGCAGCCCCCTGGGGCACCCCATGGGTGGATATAAGCCCCCAACAAGACGCAAGACCCCCACACAAGCCCCCCACCCCCTAAAAAAATTAAAAAAGACTTAAAAAAAATTAAAAAGCCACCTACTTGCTCTGGGGATTCACATTCTGCAGCATCCCGGCGGCTGCGTGCCCGGCTCCCGGCCTTCCTCCTCCTCCACAACCTCCTCCTCCTCCTCCTCCTCCTGCCGCCGCCGTCTCCTCCGACGCCCCCCCCACTTTGCCCGCCGGGGAGGAGCCTCCTCCCCCCGCCCCACCTCAAGGAGCCGGCCCCCGGCCGGGCATCACCGAGCGGCGGCGGCTCGGGCCCGTCCAGCGGCCCTCACATCGGGCGGGCGCCGAGAAAATGGCGGCGGAGGGAGGAATAAGGAAGGGGGGGGGGGCGCCTCTTGATGGCCGCCCACCGGCCCCGCGCCCGGCGCGATGCCGCCAATACAGCCCCGGAGGTGTCGCTGGGAGCCGGAGGGATCCGAAAAGCGCAGCGGAGGGGCCGGGCGAAGCGAGGCTGGCGGCGGATGGCGGCGGATGGCGGCTGCAGGCGTCAGCGGCCGGGCTCCATCTTGGCTCCGTGAGGGGCGGGAAAGGGGAAGGGGGAGGGGGGGGGGAAAAAAAGGGGGGCGGGGGGGGCTCCCCGCGCTGCAGGCCGCAGGCAGGGGTCGCTACGGAGGCCGGGGAGGGTCCGGCGGAGCCCTCCGGGAGCGCGGAGGCGGGGGCTGGGCCGCCCGGTGGAGGATGGCTCCGGATTGGGGCCGCCCCCCCCTCTGCTTCCTCCTCCTCCTCCTCCTCCCTGCGCGCACCGGGCCCGACCCGCTCCGTCCTTCAGTCCCCGCGAAATGGCGCCTCTCGGCCTGCCCCCGGCCGGCCTTATATAGGCAGCCGCCGGCCCCTGATTGGGCGGCGGCGCCCGTGACGTCACCGCCCCGCCCCCACCCGCCCCGCCGCGGCCTCATTGGGCGGAAGCCGCCGTGGCGCGGCTCGCTCATTGGCCGCCCGCCGCGTCGCTCACACCCCGCCGCGCTCCCCCGCCCTTCCGCCCTTCCGCCCGGCGCCCGGCGGCGCCGCCTCCTATTGGCCCGCGCTGCCATTCGTTGCGCCCTGATTGGCTGCAGGGTCACGTGAGGGGGGGGGCGGCGCCCGCCCGTTGGCTGTTGTTGTCGCGCGCCCGGCGGGCTGAAGGAGGAGGAAGGAGAAGGAGGGGGGGGGCGCGGCGGCCATTTTGTGAGGCGGCGGCGGACAATGAGGGCGGCCGGGCCGGGGTCTCCGCCGCCCCCACAGCCCCCACGGGGCCCACGCGGGACGCGGGGGGGCTCCAGGGGGGTTGGATCCCACCCGCGACCCCCACGCCGAGCCCTAATGAGGGGGGGGGGTGCCGGTGACCCCCCCCACGCCCCCCCCCATAAGCTGGGCTGGGGGCTCCCCTCAGGGTTGGGGGCTCTGAGGGGGCTCCACGCGGGGTCGGGACACGCGTGGGGACCCCCCCAAAAAAAAAAAACCAGCTGTGGGGGGGGAAAAACCCAGCCCCACCACCCCCTCGGTGGATTTGGGACCCCCCCACGCCGGTTTAAGCCCCCCCTGGCAGCCTCCAGCCCCCCCCCGGAACCCTCGAGCCCCCCACGCAAACCTCGAGACCCCCACGGCGAACACGAGACCCCCCCACGGACACGAGGACCCCCCCCACGAACAGCTCGGCACCCCCCCGCCGAGCCCCTCACGCCACTCGCGGGGTGCTCAGCCCCATTTCCCCCCCCTTTCTCCCCCCAGAAAAATTTAGGGGGACCCCACGGTGGTCCCGGACACGCGTGGGGGGGGGAAGACCCCTCTTGCATGAGAGGAAGGGGCTCAAAAGGGACTCCCAAAAAAAAGGGACGGGGTCAAAGGGACCCCCCCCATGCCGCCACGCCGTGACACAGCACTTTGGGCCCCACGGGCCCTGCCGCCGCCGCCCCCGCGCGAACACCCAAACATGGCGCTTTTCGCCCCAAACCGCCGCCCCCCCCCACCCCCCCTCCTCCTGCCCGTCACCGCCGCCCGCGCCTCCCATTGGCTGCTGGGCCCCCCAAGGGGGCGGGACATCGGTTTGATTGACAGCTCAGCCCCACGTGGCCTCCTCCCCCCCCCCCCCCCCCGTGGGTTTTATGGGGAAAAAAATTAAAAAAAAATTAAATAAATAAAAAAGGGGGGGGGTGAGGTCGCGCCCCCCCCCCCCTTGCCCGACACTCACCTGAGCAGCCCCAGAGCGGGGTCGCGCCCGGCCTCATCCGCCCTGCCCGGCCCCACCCCCCCCCCCCGTAAGAAAAGCCCCCGGTTTGGGGTAAAAAAAGGGGAAAAAAAAAAAAAAAACATCCCAGGGCAGAAAAAAAAAGGGAGCCACGCGCTACGTCACCCGCGCCGCGATTGGCTCCCCGCCGCCACGTGACCCCCCCGCGGCTCCCACGGCCCCCCATTCATGCCCCCCCCCAGTGGGGGGGGGGCCGCGAGGCTCCGCGGGGTCCTAGCGCCGACCTCCCCCCCCCCCGGGTATGGTTGGGGGGGGGGGTGAAAGGAGGGGGGGCGCATGCGCTGTGAGGGCTCTCTGCAGCCCCCACCCCCTGGGGAGGGGGGGTCAGGGGGAAAGGGGGGGGTCAGGGGGAAAGGGGGGGGTTGGGGGAGGGAGAACGGGGAGGGGGGGGCGCCTATGGGTGCGTCCTGCGTTGCAAGGGTGATCCTGTGGGGGGTGCAACCGTGCACGGCATTGCAAGGGTGCACGGCGTTGCAAGGGTGCACGCGTGGGGGGGGGGCATGGCATTGCAAGGGTGCACCCGGGGGGGTGCACGGTATTGCAAGGGTGCACGAGTGGAGATGGGGGGAGTTGCAAAGCGTGCCCAACATTGCAAGGGTGCACCCGTGGGGGGTTGCATGGCATTGCAAGGGTGCACCGCATTGCAAGGGTGCACCCAGGGGGGTGCACAGTATTGCAAGGGTGCATCTATGGGGGTGCACGGCATTGCAAGGGTGCACGTGTGGGGTTGCACGGCCTTGCAAGGGGTGCCCACGTTGCAAGGGAGCGCCTATGGGGATGCATGACACTGCAAAGGTGCACCCCTGGGGGTGCGTGACATTGCAAGGGGGTGCCTGGCATCGCAAGGGTGCACTTAGGGGGGTGCCCCGTATTGTAAGGGAGGAGCTATGGGGGTGCAAGGCGTTGCAAGGGGTGCACGGTGTTGCAAGGGTGCACCCGTGGGGGTCTGTGGCATTGCATGGGTGTGCATATTTGGGGCATTAAATGAATTAAGGGTGCACCCAGGGGGGTGCACAGCATTGCAAAGGGTGCACAGCATTGCAAGGGTGCACCCATAGGGGTGCACGGCATTGCAAGGGTGCACGAATGGAGATGCAGGGCGTTGCAAAGCACGCCCAGCATTGCAAGGGTGCACATATTTGGGGCATTAAATGAATTAAGGGTGCAGCCCATGGGAGGTGCACAGCATTGCAAAGGGTGCACGGCAGTTGCAAGGGTGCACGAATGGAATTCCACATACTTGCAAAGGGTGCTCGGCCTTGCAAGGGTGCACCTAGGGGGGGGTGCACGGCATTGCAAGGGTGCACCCAGGGGGGGTGCACGGCGTTGCAAGGGTGCACGAATGGAGATGCGAGGCGTTGCAAAGCATGCCCGGCGTTGCAAAGCAGTGCCCAAAATTGCAAGGGTGCACCGTGGGGGGGGGGTTGCATGGCCTTGCAAGGGTGCACCTCGGGGGGTGCCCGGCATTGCAGCAGTGCCGTGCACGCCCTCGGGGCCGTGGCGGCTGCAGCGCCTGCAGCTCAGTGGCTGCAAAGCGGTGCAGTGTGCGGAGGGGGGGGGGGGGTGCAGGGCTGGAGGGGGGGGGTGCACCGTCACCGCCACATCCCCACGGCCCCGTTTTTACCCCAAAACCCCGCGTTTTTACCCCATAACCCCTCGCAGCAGCACCATCCGGTGGTGGTGGTGGTGGGGGTGTGTGTGGGGGGGGGTTCCCCTGCTTAATTAATTAGGGCAATTAATTAATGAGGTCAACGAAGGCGAGCGTACGCGAGGGGGCGGTCGCGGGTAGCGAGCTCGGCGGGGTCGTGTCGTGTCCCCGTGTCCCCACCCCCCCCCCAAAAAAAAAAAAAAAAGCCCCAGCGGCTATCACAGCACCGGGGCTCCCCGCCGGCGACTTCTGCCTAGCAACCGATGACGCGGGGGGGGCGCGGGGCGCGGCCATTGGCGGAGCCGGGCGGCGGGGGAGCAGCGTTGGGATGGGGGCTGCGGGCGGGCGAGGGGCGCTGCTGGGAGCCCTGCTCGGGGTGGCCCTGGTCGGCGCCGCCACCCCCGGTAGGATGGGGTCGTGTTGGGGAGGGGGCGGGGGGGGTGTTGGGGGGGGCGTACAAGGGGTGTGCGTGGTCCCCGGGGGGGAGTTTGGGGGTTTTGGGGGTTTTTGGGGGGTTTTTGGGGTGGGGAGGGGGGCGTCGCGCGGTTGTGCACTGGGGGGAGTGGGAGGAAGGGGGGTGTAAGGGGTGTGAGGGGGGGAGGGGAGTAGTGCAAGGGGTTGGGCGGGTGGGTGGAGGGGTGGCAGTGCGGTAGTGTAAGGGGTTGTGTGCTAGTGCAAGGGGCTGTGCGGTGTGCAAGGGGTTGTGTGTGGTAGTGCAAGGGGTGGCCATGCAGTGTGCAAGGGGCTGTGTGCAGTGTGCAAGGGGTGGCTGTGTGCTAGGGCAAAGGGCTGTGCACAGTGTGCAAAGGGTGGCCGTGCAGTAGTGCAAAGTGTGGCTATGCAGTGTGCAAGGGGCTCTGTGCAGTGGTGCAAGGGGCTGCATGTTGTAGTGCAAGGGGTGGCTATGTAGTGTGCAAGGGACTGTGTGTAAGTGCAAGGGGCTGTGCACAGTGTGCAAAGGGTGGCCGTGCAGTAGTGCAAAGTGTGGCTATGTAGTGTGCAAGGGGCTGTGTGCTAGTGCAAGTGGCTGTGCAGTGTGCAAGGGGTTGTGTGTGGTAGTGCAAGGGGTGGCCATGCAGTAGTGCGAGGGGCTGAGTGTTGTAGTGCAAGGGGTGGCTATGTAGTGTGCAAGGGACTGCGTGTAAGTGCAAGGGGCTGTGCACAGTGTGCAAAGGGTGGCGGTGCAGTAGTGCAAAGTGTGGCTATGTAGTGTGCAAGGGGCTGTGTGTAAATGGAAGGGGCTGTGTGCAGTAGTGCAAGGGGTGGCTGTGAAGTAGTGCGAGGGGCTGTGTGTTGTAGTGCGAGGGGTGGCTATGTAGTGTGCAAGGGACTGCGTGTGAGTGCAAGAGGCTGTGCACAGTGTGCAAAGTGTGGCTATGCAGTAGTGCAAGGGGCTGTGTGCTAGTGCAAGGGGCTACGTCCAGTAGTGAAAGGGGCTATGCAGTGTGCAAGTGGTGTCTGTGCAGTAGTGCAAGGGGGGCCATGCACTAGTGCAAGGGGCTGTGTACAGTAGTGCAAGGGGCTGTGTGCAGCATGCAAGGGGGGACTGCACACTACTGCAAGGGGCTGTGTGCAGTGTGCAAGAGGGGGCTGTGCATTAGTGCAAGGGACTTTGCACGGAGCTGTATGCCCATTAATGCATGGGATGTGCAGCAGGACAGGCTGTATGCTAGTGCAAGGGGCTCTGTGCTAGCACGCAGAGCCGTGCATGGGTTTGTCTGCGCATTTGTGCACACGAGTGTGAGCAGGAGTGTACGCATAGCAGGGCAAAGTGCTGTGGGTAGGGTGCAAGGGGGGGTTATGCACAGGGCCATGGGGTGGCCCCTTGCATAAGTAGCAGCAGTGTGTGTGTTGCTGCATGTTTTCATGCATGGTGAGCGTATGCAGAGTGTGCGTGCACAGTGGGTGTGAACACAGCATGTGTGCAAGGCCAGTGCACGCATGCAGCGTGCCCACACACAGCATGGGTGCATCCAAGCAGAGCACGTGTGTGCATGCACACTCTGCGTGTGTATCCCTGCACAGCACGTGTGCATGCAGCGCGTGTGGACAAGCAGACGGATGCGTGTGCGCAGGGTGTGTGTGCTCACGCGACGTGTGAGCACGTGCACATGCAGCGTGCCCATGCAAGGAGTGCATAAGCAGACTGTGAACCTTTGCATGGCGTGTGCGTGTGCAAAGTGGATGTCCACACTGCACAGTGTGCGTGCATGCATGGTGTGTGCAAATGTGCATATACAGTGTGTGCAAATGTGCACACATGGCGTGTTCAAATGCACGTGCATGGATGGTGTGTGCAAACGCACATGGATGGCGTGTGCAAATGTCATGCACAGGGTGTGCGAATGCACATGCACGGTGTGTGCAAATGTGCATACATGGTGTGCACAAATGCACGCGCATACATGGTGTGTGCAAAGGCACATGGATGGTGTATGCAAATGTACATGCACAGGGTGTGCAAATGCACATGCACAGGGTGTGTGAATGCACGCGCATACATGATGTGTGCAAATGCATGTGCACAGTGTGTGAAAATGCACGTGCATGCACAGCGTGTGCAAACGGGCACGCACGGCGTGTGCAAATGCAACTGCACAGTGTGTGCAAATGCACGTGCATGCATGGTGTGTGCAAATGTGCATGCACTGTGTGTACAAATGCTCACGCACAGTGCATGCAAATGCACAGCACACCATGCATGCACACTACACACATGGCCACGTGCAGTACATGCATGCATGCACCGCGTGCGCGTGTTGCACGCCTGCCACTGACCCTGCACCCGCGCCGCAGAGCCACCAGTGCACAGCCTGTCCGAGGTGCTCTTCTGCCAGCCGGACATGCCCTCGCTGGGGCTGGCGGTGACGTTCGACAACGAGCAGCTCTTCTGGTTCGACGCCCCCCTGTCGCGGTGGCAGCCGCGCCTGCCCGACTTCCCCGCGTGGCCCGAGGCCACCGAGCCGCCGTCGGAGCTCGTCCACGACACCACGCTGTGCCAGAACATGCTCGAGTCCCTCACCGCCTTCACTTCGAAGTATTTGCCCATGGCTGAAGCCAAGGGTAGGTGTCCCCTGTCCCCTCCTGCCACCCCCGTGCTGGTGCCACCCTTACCGGTGCCACCCGTGCTGGTGCCACCCCTACCGGTGCCACCCCCCGTGCCGCAGGCATCCCGGTGGCCAACGTCTTTCTGAAGCGCCCGCTGGAGCTCGGCCGGCCCAACACGCTGGTGTGCATGGTGGGGAACATCTTCCCGCCCGCCGTCACCATCGGCTGGCAGCGGGACGGCGTCCCCGTCACCGACGGCGTCACCGACACCACCTACACCCCCATCGAGGACCTGGGCTTCATGCGCTTCTCCTACCTGGAGGTGACGCCCCGCGCCGGGGACGTCTACTCCTGCACTGTCACCCGCGAGCGGGACAACACCTCCGTGCTCGCCTACTGGGGTGAGTGGGGGGTCGCTTTTTGGGGTGGGGGGCCCACCTTTGGGGCCACCTCTGATGGCGCCCGCTGTGTCCCCGCAGTGCCGCAGGACCCCGTCCCCTCCGACGTGCTGGCCACGGCGCTGTGCGGCGCTGCCATGGCGCTGGGCATCCTGCTGGCACTGGTGGGGCTGGCGCTGCTGGTGGCCACCTACCGACACCGCCACGGTACGTGGGGACAGACAGACAGCGGGGGGGGACAGTGGACCTAGGTGACACGTCCCCCCCCCTGCTCATTTATATCCCACCCCCCTCTTCCAGGTTGAGTGCTCGGCGTGGGGACGGAGCCGAGCCGGTGCCACGGTGCAATTAAAACCCCTTCGTTTGCAGCCTCGTGGGGGTTTTGTGTCCTGGTGGTGCTGGAGGGTGGATTCTCCGCTGGCTCGTAGCGGGGTTGCGCCGTGCGGTTCCGTGCCCTCAGGGTGGTGCCACCCGTGTCACCCCCCTCCTCCTGCACCCAAGGGTGCTGACCCAACCCTGGGCACAGTCCATCGCCCTTGCGCCTCCCACGGGGATGACGTTGGATCCCGGGAAAGAAGAAAACAGGAGGAGGAGGAGGAAGAGAAGGAGAAAGAGGAGGAGGAAGGCGCGCAGCGGGTGGTGCGGGGTGGGATGAAGGCTCCGAACCCCGATGCCGCCGCCAGGGATGTGGGCGCTGGGGGTGCTGGGGCTGGCGCTGAGCTGCCGGGGCGCAGGTAGGACGCGGGGTGCAAGGGTGGGGAGGAGGCTGCAGACCCCTTCCTGGGGGGCCGTGCCCACCCTGGTGTCCGCGTGTCCGTCCCCGGGGCAGGTGCTTTCGTGATGCACATGGCCAGCTCCTGCTCGCTGGCGGCCAACGGCTCCGAGCAGGGCTTCGACTTCACCCTGGCCTTCAACAAGCAGCAGCTGGTGTGCTACGCGCCCGGCGCTCGCATCTTCTACCCGTGCCACGGGGGGCTGCTGCAGAACGTCGCCATCGTCCTGGCCATCGTCCTCAACAACAGCACCTTGGTGCAGCGCGCCTGAGGCTCGGCGCCAGGCTTGCAGCGACCTGGCCCCGCGCTACTGGGCTCAGACGGCGCAGCGGAGGAGTGAGCCCCGGGGCGCGGTGCACGGGGACGTTGCACGGGGCGGGGTGTTGCACGGGGACGTTGCACGGGGTGACGCGGGGCGATGGCGTATGGGGTGCAGCACGTGGTTGTCGTACAGGGAATCGAGGGGATTGCACGGGGGCGCTGCACGGGGCATTGTGTGGGGCACTGCGCAGGGAAGTTGCACGGGGAAATTGCACAGGGAATGCACGGGGATGTTGCATGGGGACATTGCTTGGGGAAATTGCACGGGGTCATTGCACGGGGACACGGAGTGGGAGATTGCACAGGGGTGTTGCACGGGGACATTGCACAGCAACATTGCTTGGGGAAATTGCACGGGGACATCGGGAGGTTACACAGGAGTGTTGTACGGGGACGTTTTATGGGACATTGCAGAGGACATTGAACAAGGGACATGGAACACGGGGTTGACTGGGAGATTGCACGAGCAGATTGCACGGGCACACTGCGCAGGGCATGGTACGGGGCGCTGCATGGGGAAGTTGAGCGGGAGCCACATGGGGACGTTGCACGGGGACATTGCACTGGGCGTTGTGCGGGACATGGCACGGGGACACTGCACGGGGAATCGGATGGGATATTGCACCGGGAAGTCGCACGGGGGGTTGTAGGGAACGTGCCCGGGGGAACATTGCCCAGGGAAATTCCAGAGGGACGTTGCATGGGGACATGCAGTGGGCGCTGCAAGGGGACGTTGCATGGGGTAAGGCACAACCGTGTCGCATGGGGACACGCGGGGACGTTGCGTGGGGACATCGTGCATGGAATTGGCCGAGGGATTGCACGGGGATGTCACGGGGTGTCACAGGGACCATTGCATGGTTCCATCGCACCGGCTACCCCGCGGGGTGGGAAGGGGACTGTCCCCCTCCCTGACTGTCCCCTCCTTGCTCCAGCACCGCCCCAGCTCCGCGTCGTCCCCACGCCCCTCACCAACGTCCCTGACGCCGTCCTCCTCACCTGCCACGTGTGGGGCTTCTACCCCCCCGAGGTGAGCATCCAGTGGCTGCACGGCGGCGACGTGGTGGCCTCGGGGGACACTGCCAAGCTCCTGCCAGCCGGCGACTGGACCTACCAGACCCAGGTGGACCTGAGGACCACCGCCAAGACTGGGGACACCTACACGTGCTTGGTGCAGCACGCCAGCCTGGAGCAGCCCCTTCGGGAGAGCTGGAGTGAGCCCCGGGGCTGGGGACGCGGCTGTGGCGCACCGGGGTCACCGGTTGCTCAGCGCGCCCGCTCTCGTCCCCCTTGCAGGTCCTGGATTGTCCCGGGAGATGACGGTGATGGTGGCGGTGGCAGGCACCGTTCTGGCCGTGGGGTTGGTGGTCCTGGCCGCCGGCGTCTTCGTCTACTGCCGCCAGCCTCGGGCAGAGGGTGAGGGATGGGGTGGAGGGGGGTGGGATATGGGGTTGGGGACGCGCTGGCTCGGGGCATCCTTCCTTATTCATCTTCTTAGGTCCGCTTGGTGCTGGTCCTGCTCCTGGTTCTGCTCCTCATCCTACTCCTGGTCCTACTCCTGGTCCTGCTCCTGGTCCTGCTCCTCATCCTACTCCTGCTCCTGGTCCTGGTCCTGGTCCCGGTCCCCACCCGGGTCCCCCCCCGGCCGAGTGGGGCCAGGCTGTGACCAAGCTCTGAGTGGGACCCCCCTTCCCTCCAATTTGGGGTCTTGTGGGATCCCCCCTCCTCACGGACCAAGCCTGGGATCCCCCAATTTTGGGTGAGCGAGGTGCCGGGGGTGCTCTCCCCCCCCTCCCACCCCAAATAAACCAAGTGGGGACCCCGCCGGCGTTCACTGACCCCCGCTCGGCGGAGAGCTCCCAGTGCTCCCAGTTTGGACGCGTGAAGTTCCTGGCAAGGGGTTGAAGCAGAGGGTGGGGGGTGTCCCCTGGTGGGGGGGGGGGGGTTGCAATCAGCCGTGAACCCACGGGGTGCGCCCACGCGGGACGGTGACAGCGGTGTCACCGCGCTATGTCCCCCCCGACGGCGGCTCCGAGCCGTTCTGCTCCGGCAACCGGTGACGTAGGCACGGCTCGGGGCTCTCATTGGTTGCCCGTGGCCCCCCCCACCCCCCTCCCACGGGACACGCGGCGTGGGGGTGCGTGGAAGTTGGGGGGGGGGGGGGGCGCAGAGCGCTGCCGGACGACCCCACGATGCTGGTGCTGCTCGGCCTGGCCCTAGGAGTGCGGGGGGCAGGTGGGGACGGGGGGGGGGACACCCCGGGATGGGGTGGGTGGGGGCGACCCTTGGGGGCCCCCCGGGATGGTTTTGGGGTGGGGCTGCTCTATGGGATCCGCAGGGATGGGCTGGGGGGGCTCAGCATTGTGGGACCCTGGGGGTAGTTTTGGGGGGCTCTGCTCTATGGGGCCATGGGGGAGTTTTGGGGGTGCTGAGCATCATGGGACACTAGGGATAAGTTTGGGGGGGGCTCTGCTCTATGGGACCCCTGGGGACAGTCTTGGGGGGCTCAGCATCGTGGGACCCTGTGGTTAGTTTGGGGGGAGGCTCTGCTCTATGGGGCCATGGGGACGTTTTGGGGGGGGATCAACATCATGGGGCCCTAGGGATAATTTCGGGGGGGTTCTGCAATGTGGGACTTTGGGGGCGGGTTGAGGGGAGGTCTGCTCTATGGAACTGTGGGGTTGTTTGCGAGGGGCTTTGACCTGGGGGACCCTGGGGGAGGTTTGGGGGGGGCTCTGCTCTATGGGGACCTGGGAGATGCTTTGGGGGGGGCTCTGCTCTGTGGGACCCTGGGGATGGTTTGGGGGGCTCTGCTCCATGAGACCCCATGGGGGGGGCATTGGAGGGGCTCTGCTCTACGGGACCCTGGGGATCTGGGGGGGGCTCTGCTCTGCACGGAGGTGGTTGGAGGCACAGAGATGACATTCCTGCCCCCCCACCCCCCCGCAGGCGCGTTCCTGATGCAAGTGGCCAGCTCCTGCCCGCTGGCGGCCAACGGCTCCGTGATGGGCTTCGACTTCACCCTCTCCTTCAACAAGAACCCGCTGGTGTGCTACGACCCCGACAATCAGCGCTTCGTCGCCTGCAACTGGGGGCTGCTGCAGCGGCAGGCCATGCAACTCGCCGCCCACCTCAACAACGGCAGCACCTGGGTGCAGCGCATCGAGGCTCGGCGCCAGGCCTGCAGTGACCTGGCCCTGCGCTACTGGGACTGGACGGCGCTGAGGCGCAGTGAGCCCCTGGGGGGGCTTGGTGTGGGGCTGTGGTGTGGAGGCATTGCAGGAGAATATTGCCTGGGGTGTTACGCAGGACTGTTGCAGAGCATGTTGCATGGGGGTGTTGCATGGAGGATAGCAGAGGAGTGTTGCAAAGGGCATTGCATGGAGGTGTTGCAGAGCTTGTTGCATGGAGTTGTTGCATGGGGGCATTGCACAGGGGTTTTGCAGAGCATGTTGCATGGGATTGTTGCAAAGGGGTGTTGTAGAGAATGTTGCAAGGAGATGTTGAACCTGGCATTGCACGGGGCTGTTGCAGAGCACGCTGCGTGAGGACATCACAGGGGGATGTTGCACAGAGCACTGCACAGCGCATTGCATTGGGCATTGCAAGGGGATGTTGCACAGAGCAATGCCTCTTGCAGGGTGTGGCACAGGGGCGTTGCACAGGGCATCGCATGGGGATGTCGCATTTGACATCGCATGGGACAATGCCTAGAGCTTGGACAGGGCGTTGCATGGGGAAGTGGCATGGGGAAGTTGCGTGGAGCTTTGCATGGGAGCTTTGCACGGGAGCATTGCACAGGAGCATTGCACGGGAGCATTGCACAGCATTGCGTGGGGACGTTGCACAGGGCAGGGAAAAGGGGCTCGCCCACCACTGACCCCATCCCCAACCCTGCTCCAGCGCAGCCCCAAGTCCGCATCATCCCCGCGGAGACGGGGAACGCCCGTGTGCCCGTGCGCCTCAGCTGCCACATCTGGGGCTTCTACCCCCCCGAGGTGACCGTCATCTGGCTGCACAACGGGGACATCGTGGAGCCCGACGACTACAACCCCATCTCCGCCATCCCCAACGGCGACTGGAGCTACCAGACGCAGGTGTCCCTGCTGGTGGCCCCGGTGGCAGGCGACACCTACACGTGCTCGGTGCAGCACGTCAGCCTGCAGGAGCCTCTCCTGGAGGACTGGAGTGAGTGGAGAGGCGCAGGACCGCATCCTGAGGCTGGTGGTCTTGGCTCCTTGCTGCCACTCACCCGGCCGTGTCCCCGCAGGTCCTGGACTGATGCCGGAGGTGACGATACTGGTGGTGGTGGCCACCGTGCTGATGGTGCTGGGACTTGGCTTATTTCTCGCCGGCGTCTACCGCTACAAGGCCAGGCCTCCTGCCCCAGGTGAGGGTCTGGGGAGAGCCGGGGCTGTGGTCAAGGGTGACGAGGACTCTGCTCACTCCTCTTCTCCCCCCCGCAGGTTACACTCCCCTCCCTGGAGACAACTACCCCGCAGGTAATGGTGTCCCCATCTGCATTGGCGAGGGGTGAATCATCCCATCTCTCATCCTGTGTGTTCCCCCCTTCCCCAGGCAGCATCTGAGGACCCCCAGACGGACACCTCCCAGCACCGGCGGCTCCCGGTTGGCCCCATCTCAGACCCGATGCTGTGGTGCTGACAATAAAGATGCTCCACAAGCCCCACTGGTGTCTCTGCAGTGTTCTGGGCACAGGGCAGAGGCTCACACACTCCTACAGTGTGTTACCAAGAGGAACGGGTGTGTGGGGGCCATGGCATGGGACCCCAAAGGGCCCTGGGGTGCCTCAGGCAGGGCACTGCTGGCCGGCCGAGGGAAGGGATTGTCCTGCTCTGCACGGCCTGCTGCGGCCTCGCCTCGAGCACTGCGTGCAGCTGTTGGCACCACAGCAGACGAAGGGAGTGAAACTGTGCGAGAGCCTCCAAGGGAGGGCTACGAGGACGGCGAAGGCTCTGCAGGGCAAGGCGTGTGAGGAGACGGTCTGCTGCAAGACACCTTCCCAGGCAGCAAGGCCTCAGGACACAAAGCACCCAGGAAATGCCACTGCCAGACTCCATCTTCCTGTACAAAACTTTATTTGCCACAGTCCTGCTGCTGCTGGGCCTTGATGTGTTCCAGAGCAGGGAACAAAGAGCCCCCACAGGCTGCTCATGCTCAGCACCAGGCACAGAGCAAGGATCAACCCCGAACTAGGAGGCAAAGGTGGCCTGCACTGGCCAGCAGCACATGGTGACCACATCCCTTGCCCTGGGGTCTGCAAGCAGTTCAAGCAGAGGGGAGAGGAGCGTGGAGAGCTGCTGCAGCCCCTGTGCTGCCCGCTGGGGCTCAGAGGCAGGGTGAGACCCGTGGGTGCCAGCAGGGCTTGTGCCCCAGCACAGGAGCCCTGTGCAGGGCAGAGCCCAGGGGCTGCAAGGGGCCTGGCACCTGCTTGTAGCATCCCAGCCCTCCTCCAGCAGCAGGGAGGAACACGGGGCAGCCCCTGGCCCCATTGCCCCTCATACCTGTTCTGCTCCTGCAGGACCAAGTAGAGGTGATGCAGGAGTGTCTGGAAAAGGGCTGGAGCCCCCCAGGGCTGGGGACAGGGTCTGGTGGGTGCTGTCCCTCAGGTACAGCTGAATTCCCGATTTATCCAGCCAGAACCAGGGGCGGATGCTCTCCCCATTGAAGGAGGCTGCTGTGAAAGTGAAGATCTGGACCCCATTGTCAGCGTTGATGAAAGACACCTGCCCCTGGGTACAGTCCAGACAGACCCAGATCCTCGTGGGGATAGGGGACAGGGACAAGGGGGTGGGAGGAGATGTGAGAGACTTGAGCTGCCCCTCATCGTACTGCAGAGCCCAGATCCCTCCTTCAGGGCTCATGTTCATCCTCTTCCTTCTCTCCATAGAAGCCCCGGCCACCCCCACAGCCCACCCTGAGTACTTTACCCACTCTCCCTCCACCTCCACCAACCAGCAGTGCCTCCCCTCTCTGAACTCCTCAAGGCCCAGCACACACCACCGGTTCTCAAATCTCTCTGATGTGTCAGGAACCTGCTTCTGTTCAATTTCGCATCTCACACTGCTCTTGTCCTGAGACACAACAAGTTCAGGATGAGCTGTGTCCGGATCCAGGGTCACCTTCTCTGCAGGGACAGAAGGAGCCAGGCCATCAGGGGCAGAGCTCAGCCCTGGGCAGGCTTTCCCCAGCTCGGGGCCAGGATTTGCCCCACGGGGCAGGAGATGGGGCACCTCTGGGCTGCTGAACATGCCCCAGCAAGGGCAGGAGAAGCACCTCAGAGGGCAACCCAATGCACACCTACCTCTATTATGAGACATCAGAAACCTTCTCCATGCTGTAAGGAGAGGGGAGAGCTGGTCACAGCCCATGGCTGGTGCCCAGTGGGTGTGGGCAGGGTGAGCGGCCAGCCCTGGGCTTCTCTGTCCCAGCTGCCCACCCTCCCCTCACATTGCCTTAGTGTGGCCATGGGGCCCAAGGAATGTGATACTCACCCAGCTCTGCAGCTTGTTTCTCTGAAAAGGAAAGTGAAAGTAATATATGATGGGTAAGAAAGTAAAGCATGAGGGAAGACTTGCTTAGCCCGTAGTTGACCCTATGACATCCCATGAAAGGGTAAAACACTGCCTTGATCAGAGGTGTGACTAAAGAAATAGTCATTGTGGTCCAGCTTTGTACAATGCTCTTGTAAGCAGAACTTTAAGGACTGACATTTCTGCAGCTTTTATCTTTGTGCCACTGAAGCCATTACAGAAGTGAAGAAAGGATTGTTGGAGAATGTCCGTTTCCCGAAAGCATCAGTGCTGAGCGGGGCAGCCCCACAGCTCGCTCCCCGTCCCCACCTTGATCCCCGTTCCTTTCAGCCATCCCGGCCGTGTCCCGTGCCCAGGGCAGCCCCAGCCCCAGCACTCCCCACTCCCACCCCAGGCTCCAGCTGCTCCTCCAGCACCCCCGAGCCACCAGCACACAAGCGAATGAAGGATGATGGGGTTTTGGAGATGCTGAGACCCCACTGGGGTGAAGGTGGATGGGGTTTGTGGTGGTGGATCCCCACTGGAGTGGCGGACAATGGGGTTTTGTGATGGTGGGACCCTGCTGGGATTAAAGAGGATGGGGTGTGAGGATGGTGGGATCTTAATGGGATGAAGGATGATGGGATTTTGGGATGGTGAGACCCCACGTGCATGAAGATGGATGGTTGGGTGTGGAGACCACTCAGCTTGGCATTGAGAACCAGCTGGAGGAGAGCATCTGTGTCTCCTCATTGTGTAGCTGGGTTCAAAACCTATTCTTAGCTTCCCACCTTCATATAGTTAAACCTTCGAAGAGGGCAAGGGAGTCCTGCAGCCACAGAGGCTCCATCTCACTGAGGTTCGGTCTGTTTGGATCACCTGCTTCTATCGGATGCAGTGTCTTCTGAAAGCATTTCCTTCCCTTGTTTCCCCACTGTGTCTGCTCCTGATTTTAATGCTGCGAGGTTTAAAACATGCTGCAATGAATTTGGCTCGAGAATGTCAGCTTGTTTCCCTGCTTGCTTTTAAACAAGGTGCAAAAAGTGGCACTGGTTTTCTGGGAGTGCAGGATTGTTACTGATTGCTGAGGGTTGGTGAAGCTGGGGTGGCCCCATGGCTCCTGCAAGCCCATTTCTGGCTGAACCCTGCCCTGAGCAGTGGAAAATAAAGCAGCCACGGGAACAACTTGGGTGGTAGAAGAGAAACATGGGACATGGAGATGGCATGAAAGGACCTGACGGACAGCTTTAAGGTTGACGCCACCTGCTGCCTCTTCTTGGAGGACTTCAAAAAGCTGGTGATGCCCCCCCTGCAGGCAGAGCCTCTACCAAGCCTGTGTGATGGGAGGATGGAAGCTCTTGGGGATCCACTTGTCCCAGATGGGTCATTACCCTGTCTAGGCCAGGGCAGGGCAATGACCCAGATGGGACAAGAGGGTGCCAGGGAACAGATGGAGAACCAAGGGGCAGTTGGCGCTTTGGTTCCTCTTGGCTCTGACTCCCAGGACCAACACCAAGGAGAGGACTGCTGCAAGATGCCTTCCCAGGCAGCAAAGCCTCGGGACACAAAGCACCCAGGAAATGCCACTGCCAGACTCCATCTTCCTGTACAAAACTTTATTTGACAGAGTCCTGCTGCTGCTGGGCCTTGATGTGCTCCAGAGGAGGGAACAAAAAGCCCCCACAGGCTGCTCATGCTCAGCACCAGGCACAGAGAACAGATCAACCCCAAACTAGGAGGCAAAGGTGGCCTGCAGTGGCTGTCAGCACACAGTGACCACATCCCTTGCCCTGGGGTCTGCAAGCAGTGCAAGCAGAGGGGAGAGGAGCGTGGAGAGCTGCTGCAGCCCCTGTGCTGCCCACTGGGGCTCAGAGGCAGGGTGAGACCCGTGGGTGCCAGCAGGGCTTGTGCCCCACCACAGGAGCCGCGTGCAGGACAGAGCCCAGGGGCTGCAAGGGGCCTGGTCCCTTCTTGCAGCATCCCAGCCCTCCTCCAGCAGCAGGGAGGAACACGGGGCAGCCCCTAGTCCCACTGCCCCTCATTCCTGTGCTGCTCCTGCAGGACCAAGGAGAGGTGATGCAGGAGTGTCTGGAGAAGGGCAGGAGCCCCCCAGGGCTGGGGACAGGGTTTACAGGGTGCTGTCCCTCAGGCACAGCTGAATTCCCTTCGTCCTCAGCCAGAACCAGGGGTGGATGCTCTCACCACTGAAGGAGGCTGCTGTGAAAGTGAAGATCTCGACCCCATTGTCAGCGTTGATAAAAGACACCTGCCCCTGGGTACAGTCCAGACAGACCCAAATCCTTGTTGGGATAGGGGACAGGGACAAGGAAGTGGGAGGAGATGTGAGAGAATTGAGCAGCCCCTCATAGTACTCAACAGCCCAGATCCCTTCTTCAGGGCTCATTTTGAAATGCCCCTTTCTCTTCACAGATGCCTTGGCCACCCCCACAGCCCACCCTGAATACTTTAGCCGTTCTCCCTCCACCTCCACCAACCAGTAGTGCCTCCCCTCTCTGAACTCCTCACGGCCCAGCACGCACCACCAATAGTCAAATCTCTCTGGTGTGTCAGGAACCTGCTGCCATTTACTTTTCCATCTCACACTGCTGTTGTCCTGAGACACAAGAAGCATGGGATGAGCTGTTTCTGGATCCAGGGTCACCTTCACTGCAGGGACAGAAGGAGCCAGGCTATCAGGGGCAGAGCTCAGCCCTGGGCAGGCTTTCCCCAGCTCGGGGCCAGGAGCTGCCCCACGGGGCAGGAGATGGGGCACCTCTTGGCTCCTGAACATGCCCAAGCAAGGGAAGGAGAAGCACCACAGAGGGCAACTCAGTGCACACCTACCTGTATTGTGAGGCAGCAGAAACTTTCTCCATGCTGGAAGGAGAGTGGAGAGCTGGTCACAGCCCATGGCTGGTGCCCAGTGGGTGTGGCAGGGTGAGGGGCGAGCCCTGGGCTGCTCTGTCCCAGCTGCCCACCCTCCCCTGCACATTGCCTTGGTGTTGCCCTTGGGCCTGTGCACCAGGAGACTTACCCAGCTCTGCAGCTTGTGTCTCTACAAATTAAAGAGAAATCAAAATATGAGCAGAAGGCAGTTTCTGAGTCTCTCACTATGATGCCATTTTTTTTTTTTTCTGTTTGAGAGCAAGACTTACCCAGCTCTGCAGCTTGTTCATTTACAAACGGAAGAGAAAAGCAATGCATGGATGAGACGATTGTGCTTCTCATCAATGACTGCTACAACCCAATGACCCCGTTTTCCTTCAGTTGTCGGGGGGAAGAGAGACTCACCCAGTCTTGCAGCTTTTTCGTCTGGAAAAGAAAAGCATAAGGAATGCATGATCAGAGGGAAAAACTTCTCATCCATTGTCTACACTGCAAATTCTTCCAGGTCATGGATGGACACTCACCTATCTCTGCAGATTGTTCCACTGAAAAGGAAAAAGAAAAAGAAAAGCAATGTGAGGAGTTTTAGGTTGGATGTTAGGAAGAACTTCTTTACCGAAAGGGTTGTTAGATAATGGAAAGGGCTGCCCAGGGAAGTGGTGGAGTCACCATCCCTGGAAGTCTTTAAAAGGCATTTAGATGCAGAGCTTAGGGATATGGTTTAGTGGAGGACTTGTTAGTATTCGGTCACAGGTTGGATTCGATGGTCTTGAGGTCTCTTCCAACCTAGAAATTCTGTGATTCTGATATGTGTGGTCAGAACGGAGTATGCCTGTGGAAAAACAGCAAATGCCTTCTCTTTGGGGAAGGAGACTTACCCAGCTTTGCATCCTTTTTCGCTGCTATAAAAAGCAAAAGGAATGAATGGTCAGAGTGGAGAGACTTTCACCCCATTCTTGCTGCCATGGTTAAGCCCCCAGATTTTTGCTCTCATGCATGGGCACAGACGGCCTTGCTCCCAGACTTGTAGTGACCAGACTAACAAGGACCGAGGCCCAGCATTTTGCAAGACTTGTAGCAGTAAGGACAGACACTTGTGCAGCTCTCTGCACCGTGCCACCAAAACACAAGGGGAAGTGAATGGGGATGAATGGAGGATGTCCCTGTCCCAGAAGCGTCAGTGCAGAGCGGGGCAGCCCCGCAGCTCGCTCCCCATCCCCACCTTGATCCCTGTTCCTTTCAGCCATCCCGGCCGTGTCCCATGCCCAGGGCAGCCCCAGCCCCAGCACTCCCCACTCCCACCCCAGGCTCCAGATGCTCCTCCAGCACCCCCGAGCCACCAGCACACAAGCCCCCTGAGCCCACCCAGACCAGGCCCTCCCGCAAGGGCACCACTTCCCCAGGGGCTGGGGGCAGGGACTGCAAGGACTCACCCAGCTCTCGGCTCTGTGCCGCTGAAAAGCAAAGGCGGAGGAAGAGGTGGTGAGCAGAGCAGCTTGGTTGCTGGGTGGGAACATGTGCAGGGGGGCTGCGCCTTGCCACCAGCCCCACGCTGCAGCCATGCTCCCTGGCCTCCCACCCAAGGCCCCTTGCTCCAGACCCACGCGGGACCCTGCAGAACACCTCCCTGTGCTCCATCCCTGTGCTGCCAGCTTACCTTGCTTTCGAAAGAGATAAACACCGAGGCCAATGGACACAGCCAAAAGCACGAGGACCAGAGCCAGAGCCACCATCCAGGGCTGGGCATTGTGGAAGAAGGGAGCTGAGAAAAGGCACCAGGAAAAGGGCTTTGTTTACATGCCTGCAGGTGGAAGAGGAAGACCCAGACGTCTCCTGGAATGGGACAAGTGCAGGGGCCAGGAATACCTCACCCTGGCTGTGCCATTTGTACCTGCGATGTGCAGGGAAAATTTCCTCTCCTGCTGGATGCGGCTGTTCCTGACCACACAGGACAAGGGCCCCTTCATACTGCCGGTCACGACGACGGCGCCTTTAATTTCAAAGAGCCCCTCCTGGTCCTGGGAATGTGTCTGGGAGACCGAGGGAAGGTGCTGCCCACGAGCATCCCTCCACAGCAGCTGTGGCAGCGGGTACCAGCCGGCCGATCGACACAGCACCCGGACGCCTCTGGCGTTGTAGCCCCCCAGGGAGAGGTGGGGGTCAGCGCCTGTGGCTGGGGGAAGAGCGCGTGGATGGTACTTGACTTGGGGAGGGATTCATTTCAAGGCAAAGACCCCATGTGCTCCCATGCCAGACACAGCACAGACCAGCCATGTCCCCAGGGGCTCAGGGACTGGATGCTTCACGGAGCCACTCTCACCCCTAACCCACACCTATTGTTGGCACAGCTGAAGGACCTGCTCAGAAACCTGTGCCCACTGCCCACACAACAGCATGGGGATGGAGTTCAAATAGGGTCCCTGAGACTGAATTAAATCATTGCATTCATGCAGTTCTCTCTCAATAAAAAGCCTGCAAGGGCACAGGTGTACTTCTTGGTGGACAAGTGCTCACTGACAGAGGAGAAGCCTCATCACACTCTACTGTTTGAAAGGCCACGTAGATGGCCATGAGGATGGGACCGGGTCCTGGGTGGGACACACAAACCCGGGGACACCTGCACCACCCCTTGGATACATCACCCCAGCCACTAACCTGACACCTCCAGCTCCACAATGGCTTCGTCATAAGCATCAGCATCTCCCACAGTGCAGATGTACAGGCCATCATCAGAGGGTCTCAGCCCCATGATTCGCAAGTCCAGGCTTCCAGCAGAGAGACCATCTCTGACCAACTCTGTCCTCCCGGCATATGCCCCCATCTGCTCCCCGTACAGGTCCTCTCCATTGCGGTAGTGGTGGACTGTCTCAGAGATGTGGTCCCGGATCCACCTGACCTCCAAGCTGCGAGCATCGCGTTGAGGGGACAAGTGGCAGGGCAGCACGACATCCTGCCCCACGGTGGCAGTGACAGGCTGGCCTGGTCCCACCACTGTAAGCTGAGCTGGGCAATGGAGAAGGGCACAGAGAGGAGGTGAGTTTTTGCGATAGTAAATTTAGGGTCAGTGAGTGACAAAGGGCGAGCTGTGTGTGAGTTGGTGCGTGCTGCGTCCCCCGTGTCCCATGGGAAAACACCGGGTAAACAAGAGAGGGAGAGGGATGGCGTGCAGGAGAAGGAGGTGTGCTGGGAGTGGGAGCCCTCTCTGAAGCATTCGGGCAGGTGAAGGACACAGAAAGGGCAGGCAAGGCAGCCCCCATATTGTGTGAAAGAACCAAAGTGAAAGTGAAACCCAGCACGGTCGAGCTGTGGGCTCCAGTCCCCCCTTTCCCACAGCCGCTCCCCTACCCCACAGCAGCAAGTCTGCATGCAAAGGGGGGAGAGCCCCCAGCAGCCCCGCAGGATCCTACCTGAGCCCAGCTGGAGGAGGAGCAGAGTGACGAGGGAAATCAGGAGGCCCCTGACATGGCCGGTGAGGCTGGGGCGGCCGCAGTCCAAGGGGAGCCCCATCTGAGAGAGAAGTCCCCCACGGGGCAGTTGGCCCCCCAGGTGTTTTATTCCAAGCCAAGAGAGATGTCCCTCACGGCACCCAGCAGAGCAGCAGAAAGTACAAGACTACGCCCAACTTTCCCAACCTTTGCCCAGTTCCTGGCTGCAATAACCCTCCTGGAACAGCTCTGCCCCTGGGGCAATGTCTGTGGAGCTCTGCAGGGCTGGCACCACCATCCCATTGCAGCTGGGTGCCCAGTCCACTGCCTTTAGCAAGCACGAGGTGCTTGTCCCCAGCAGGGGCCTCTCCAGACCTCCAGGGAAAGCCACTGGCTAAGCTCGTTCATCTCCATGCATGCAAGGAGGAATCAAACTGTGAGCAATGGGAAAATGAGGAGAGATGGCAGTGAAGAGCTGAGCAGGATTGGAGGCTGCAGGGAACGGGGCACAGCTGGGTGTCGAGCCCAGAGCTGCCACCCTTTGCCCAGGGTGCTGAAGGCAAAGTGCCAGTGCCTCTCCCAGCTCCAGTAAAGCAGGCATGGCAGAAGGTTTGCTCAGATGGGCAGGGACCTTCTTCAAGAGCTTAGGTGGATAAGGAAAGTTTCTGTTTGCTGGAGGCAAGGTCAGTCAATATAGAAGGACTGCAGAGGTACTGTTTGCCTTTGTAGGGAGAAAATTCATATGGTCAAAGCTTAATTTGAGTTGAGGCTGGAAAGTAATGTGAGGGGCAATAAAAGTTTTTTCTTTTTTTTTTTTTTTTAAACTATCTTAACAGCAAAAGTAGGATGAGAGAAAGCATTGGTCTGTTACTTGATGGGGATGGTCAGACAGGGTCATTCACAGAGATGTTTATTGCTTTCTTTGCCTTTGCCTTCAGCATCACTGGGCTGTGGGACCCCAAGTGCCCTGAGCTGGAGGACAGTGACTGCAGGAACGATAAAGTCCGAACAAACCCTGAATTTGTGTGGGATTTGCTGCTCCAGATGAATGCTTACAAGACTATAGGGCCTGATGGGATTCATCCCAGAGTACTAAGAGAACTGGCTGAAGGCATACATCTTCCCCTCAAGGCCCTTCACCATCTCTGTGGCCCTTCTCTGGACACTCTCCAATAGTTTCACGTCCTTCTTGTACTGTGGTGCCCAGAACTGCACAGAGTCCTCAAGGTGAGGCCGCAGAGCGCAGAGTAGAGTGGGACAATCACCTCCCTCAACTGACTAGCAATGCCGTTCTCAATGCACCCCAGGATACGGTTGACCCTCCTGGCTGCCAGTGCACACTGCTGGCTCATGTTCAGCTTGCTGTCAACCACAACCCCCAGATCCGTCTCTGCAGGGTTGCTATCCAGAGTCTCTTTGTCCAGTCTGTACATATAGCCAGGGTTGCCCCATCCCAGGTGCAGGACCCAGCACTTGCCTTTGTTAAACTTCATGCAGTTGGTGATTGCCCAGCTCTCCAATCTGTCCAGATCTCCCTGCAAGGGCTTTCCACCCTCAGCCAAGTCAACAACTCCTCCCATGGGATGCCGTCCTTCCCAAACTGATCCTACATGGGCTTCCCACAGGCAGCAGCTGTCCAGCAACTGCCCCAGTATGGGTCTGTAGCATGGGGTACATCTGTCAGGAGCAAACTGTTCCAAACTAGGTCGCCCACTGGTGGCAGCTCCCCCCAGAGCACCTGATCCTTTGTGGGCTCCTCTCCACGGGCTGTGGCTCCAGACTGGGGCCTGCTCCTACAGAGGCTCTCCATGGGCTGCAGCCTCCACCAGGCCCCATCCACCTCCTGCACACGGGGATCCTCCATGGGCTGCAGTGTGGAGATCTGCTCCACCTGTACTCCTGCTCCATCCACTAACCGCCCCAGTCCCCTAACGTCCTGTTTGATAGCCTTCAGGCTTCTCTCTTCAATGTCATCACTGCCAGCCTGGACTATCAAAGGGGATAGTAGTCAGAGTGGCAAACGAGGTTGGGAAGTTTTCTGGCAATTTCCTTTACCCTGGCACCAGGGAGGAAGCAAACTTCCCTACAGCTAGTGTCAGGCTGACAATTAGGGCCCTTTGTTCCCCTGAGAAGGGAGTCGCCTACAACAATCTCCCTTCTTTCTGTCCTGGTGGAGGCAGTCCTGAGGCTTGGAGTCGACTTCCTCACCCTAGGCATCCTCCTGGCTACACTTTCTACCTCTTCCTCAGCTCCCGGTCTCTCAAGCTCCAGGGCCTCAAACCTGTTGTGGAAGGGCACCTGGGAAGGTGGGGCCTGTATGGGGTGTCATCGCCTGCGATGTCGAGCAGGGACCTGTCTCCATTCCTCCTCAACTCCTAGGTCCCCTCCCTCTGCCCAACAGCGACAGGGGAGGGGGTCCACCCCCATTTGGGGTGTCTCACCCCGGTACCTCTCCTTCAGGATCTGCAGGGAGTTCTCCACCACTCTATCTCCCACTCACACTCCCGGATAGCCCTCAACCTCTCCACCTCCTCCTTGAGTTCTGCCACAAGGCAGACCAGGTCATCCACCTGCTCACACCTCACGCACACACAGTCTCTCTGCCTCCCGCAGATGGCAGCAAGAGGCTTAGTCGCTCCCTGCACCCAGAGACCTGAACTGGTGCATTTTTGAGCAGGCAGTCAGTCTGGGTGTGTACAGACTTGCTAGAGAGAGCACTGTGCCTGGTGGAGACCGTTGCAGGCTAGTTAGCAGTAGACTGCCGTTAGAGGAGTTGTTTGTATGGGTGGGGGGGAACGCTCTGCCCTCCCTGCTCGCCCTGCCTGCATGAACTGCCTGCCTCTGCCTTCTGATGCGCCATGCCCTGTTTGCTCTCCCGGATCGCTGCTTTCCTGGTTGTTGCGCTCCCCAGGGGCAGATTTTGAACTGCCAAGGAGGGGACCCTGCTGGCTCTGCCTACGTGTCGTCAGCCTATGTCGCGAGGGATTCCGGGTCCTGGCGGCACCCTGAAGTGGGCTCGATGCCGGAAAAAAATAGCCCTGCCTGTACGATCCCCTGCTCCGCTGCAGAAAGAATCTGCAATGGAGCTGATCGCCTTGGCAAGATGTTGCACAGGGCATTGCATGGGGATGTTGCACAGGGGTGTTGCAGAGCATGTTGCAAGGAGATCTTGCACCGGGCATTGCATGGGGGTGTTGCAGAGCACACTGCGTGAGGACGTCGCAGGGGGATGTTGCACGGAGCACTGCACAGCGCATTGCATTGGGCATTGCAAGGGGATGTTGCACAGAGCAATGCCTCTTGCAGATTGTGGCAAAGGGGCGTTGCACCGGGTGTCTTATGGGCATCGCATGGGGATGTCGCATTTGACATCGCATGGGACAATGCCTAGAGCTTGGACAGGGCGCGTTGCATGGGGAAGTGGCATGGGGAAGTTGTGTGGAGCTTTGCACGGGAGGATTGCAAGGGAGCGTTGCACAGGGGAGGGAAAAGGGGCTCGCCCACCACTGACCCCATCCCCATCCCTGCTCCAGCGCAGCCCCAAGTCCGCATCATCCCCGCGGAGACGGGGAATGCCCGTGTGCCCGTGCGCCTCACCTGCCACATCTGGGGCTTCTACCCCCCCGAGGTGACCGTCATCTGGCTGCACAACGGGGACATCGTGGAGCCCGACGACTACAACCCCATCTCGGCCATCCCCAACGGCGACTGGAGCTACCAGACGCAGGTGTCCCTGCTGGTGGCCCCGGTGGCAGGCGACACCTACACGTGCTCGGTGCAGCACGTCAGCCTGCAGGAGCCTCTCCTGAAGGACTAGAGTGAGTGGAGAGGTGCAGGACCGCACCAGGAGGCGGGCAGCTTTGTCTCCTTGCTGCCACTCACCCGGCCGTGTCCCCGCAGGTCCCGGACTGATGCCGGAGGTGACGATACTGGTGGTGGTGGCCACCGTGCTGATGGTGCTGGGACTTGGCTTATTTCTCGCCGGCGTCTACCGCTTCAGGGCCAGGCCTCCTGCCCCGGGTGAGTGTCTGGGGAGACCGGGGCCATGGTCAAGGATGACGAGGACTCTGCTCACTCCTCTTCTCCCCCCCGCAGGTTACACTCCCCTCCCTGGAGACAACTACCCCGCAGGTAACTGTTTCCCCATCCGCATTGGCGAGGGGCGAATCACCCCATCTCTCACCCTGTGTGTCCCACCCTTCCCCAGGCAGCATCTGAGGACCCCCAGACGGACACCTCCTGGCACCGGCGGCTCCCGTTTGGCCCCATCTCAGACCCGATGTCATGGTGCTGACAATAAAGATGCTCCACAAGCCCCGCTGGTGTCTCTGCAGTGTTCTGGGGACAGGGCAGATGCTCACACACTCCTACGGTGTCTCACCAAGTGGAGCGGGTGTGTGGGGGCCATGGCATGGGACCCCAAAGGGCCAAGCCTGCCCTGGGGTGCCTCAGGCATGGCCCTGCTGGCCGGCCGAGGGAAGGGATCGTCCCGCTCTGCTCGGCCTGCTGCGGCCTCGCCTCGAGCACTGAGTGCAGCTGTGGGCACCGCAGCAGACGAAGGGCGTGAAACTGTGCAAGAGCCTCCAAGGGAGGTCTACGAGGACGGCGAAGGCTCTGCAGGGCAAGGCGTGTGAGGAGACGGTCTGCTGCAAGACGCCTTCCCAGGCAGCAAGGCCTCAGGACACAAAGCACCCAGGAAATGCCACTGCCAGACTCCATCTTCCTGAGCAAAACTTTATTTGCCACAGTCTTGCTGCTGCTGGGCCTTGATGTGCTCCAGAGGAAGGAACAAAGAGCCCCCACGGTCTGTTCATGCTCAGCACCAGGCACAAAGCAAGGATCAACCCCGAACTAGGAGTCAAAGGTGGCCTGCAATGGCCGGCAGCACATAGTGACCACATCCCTTGCCCTGGGGTCTGCAAGCAGTGCAAGCAGAGGGGAGAGGAGCGTGGAGAGCTGCTGCAGCCCCTGTGCTTCCCGCTGGGGCTCAGAGGCAGGGTGAGACCCGTGGGTGCCAGCAGGGCTTGTGCCCCAGCACAGGAGCCGCGTGCAGGGCAGAGCCCAGGGGCTGCAAGGGGCCTGGCCCCTGCTTGCAGCATCCCAGCCCTCCTCCAGCAGCGAAGAACACGGGGCAGTCCCTGGCCCCACTGCCCCTCATTCCTGTGCTGCTCCTGCAGAACCAAGGAGAGGTGATGCAGGAGTGTCTGGAGAATTACAGGAGCTCCCCAGGGCTGGGGACGGGGTCTTGGGGGTGCTGTTCCTCAGGCACAGCTGAATTCCCTCTGTCCATAGCCAGAACCAGGGGCGGATGCTCTCCCCATTGAAGGAGGCTGCTGTGAAAGTGAAGATCTCGACCGCATTGTCAGCATTGATAAAAGACACCTGCTCCTGGGTACAGTCCAGACAGACCCAGATCCTCGTGGGGACAGGGGACAGGGACAAGAGAGTTGTAGGAGATGTGAGAGACTTGAGCTGCCCCTCATCGTACTGCACAGCCCAGATCCCTTCTTCAGGGCTCTTATTGAAATACCCCTTTCTCTCCACAGAGGCCCTGGCGACCCCTACAGCCCACCAAGAATACTTTACCCGCTCTCCCTCCACCTCCACCAACCAGCAGTGCCTCCCCTCTCTGAACTCCTGACAGCCCAGCACGCTCCACAAATAGTTAAATCTCTCTGGTGTGTCAGGCACCTGCTGCCGTTCACTTTCCCGTCTCACACTGCAGTTGTCCTGAGACACAACAAGCTGGGGATGAGCCATGTCCGGATCCAGGGTCACCTTCACTGCAGGGACAGAAAGAGCCAGGCCATCAGGGGCAGAGCTCAGCCCTGGGCAGGCTTTCCCCAGCTCGGGGCCAGGAACTGCCCCACGGGGAGGAGATGGGGCACCTCTTGGCTCCTGAACATGCCCCACCAAGGGCAGGAGGAGCACCTCAGGGGACAACTCAATGCACACTTACCTCGATTTTGAGGCAGCAGACACCTTCTCCATGCTGGAAGGAGAGGGGAGAGCTGGTCACAGCCCATGGCTGGTGCCCAGTGGGTGTGGGCAGGGTGAGGGGCCAGCCCTGGGCTGCTCTGTCCCAGCTGCCCACCCTCCCCTGCACATCGCCTTGGTGTTGCCCTGGGGCTCAAGGACGGGGACACTCACCCAACTCTGCAGCTTGTTCCTCTGAAAAGGAAAATAAGAGCAATGCATTGATGAGAGGAATCGGGTTCTTATCAAGTGGCTGCTACAAAGGAATGCCCCCCAGTTCCTTCAGTCCTGGGGGGAGGGTGCAGGGAAAGAGAGACTCACCCAGTCTTCCAGCTTTTTCTTCTGGAAAAGCATAAGGAATACATGATCAGAGGGAAAAAATTCTCATCCCATGTCTATACCACAAATTCTTTCAGTTCATGGATGGATACTCACCTATCTCTGCAGCTTGTTGCACTGGAAAAGAAAGAGAAAAGCAATGTACGGTCAGAGGGGAATATGCCCATGGGAAAAGACACCAAATGAATTCTCCTTGGGGAAGGAGACTGGTGAGCAGAGCAGCTTGGTTGCTGGGTGGGAACATGTGCAGGGGGGCTGCACCTTGCCACCAGCCCCACGCTGCAGCCATGCTCGCTGGCCTCCCACCCAACACCATCCTAAGGCCTTTGGCATCCCCAGGAGAATATTCCCTTCCTCCTCCTACGCACCTCCCTGGGCCAGGGCTCAGCCCCGCTCCATACCAAGGGGGGTCCCTGCAGAACACCTCCCTCTGCTCCATCCCTGCGCTGCCAGCTTACCTTGCTTTCGAAAGAGATAAACACCGAGGCCAATGGACACAGCCAAAAGCACGAGGACCAGAGCCAGAGCCACCATCCAGGGCTGGGCGTTGTGGAAGAAGGGAGCTGAGAAAGGCACCAGGAAAAGGGCTGCGTTTCCATGCCCATGGGTGGAAGAGCAAGACCCAGACTTCTCCTGGGTCAGGACAAGTGCAGGGTTGAGGAACACCTCACCCTGGCTGTGCTATTTGTACCTGCGATGTGCAGGGAAAATTCCCGTTCCTGATGCAGGCGGCTGCTCCTGACCACGCAGGACAAGGGCCCCTCCACACTCCCGGTCATGATGACGGCGCCTTCGATTTCAAAGAGCCCCTCCTGGTCCTGGGAATGTGTCTGGGAGACCGAGGGCAGGTGCTGCCCGCGAGCATCCCTCCACAGCAGCTGCGGCAGCGGGTACCAGCCGGCCGATCGACACAGCACCCGGACGCCTCCGGCCTCGTAGCCCCCCAGGGAGAGGTGGGGGTCAGCGCCTGTGGCTGGGGGAAGAGTGCGTGTCTGGGGCTTGACTTGGGGAGGGATGCATTCCAAGGCAAAGACCCCATCTGCTCCCATGCCAGACACAGCCCAGGATAGCCACAGCACCAGGGTCTCAGGGACCAGGCACTCCATGCACTAATGCTCACCCCAAAAACCATCCCGTTAGGTTCAAAATCCAGAGAGCAGGGCTGCACAATGCCAGTGACCCCAAATCATGCAGAAAATACATGTACTGTGCTCCAGCACCTCCAGGCAGCGTCTCTGCACCAATTCGTGCTGGGTGATGAAGCCCTGAGACTTGCAGGCAACGTCACAGGTCTCCCCCAGCACAGAAAGCAAAAGTAAAGCTTTTTTTAAAAGACCTCAGAGCCTCAGAGGACTCCGCGGTTCTCCCTGTGTGCTGTTTGGTCCCATTGCTGACACAGCTGAAGGTGCTGCTCAGCAGCCTGTGCCCAGTGCCCTCACAATATTATGATTATTGTCTTCAAGGACACCAGTGAAAACTGACAAAAATATTCATGGAGTTCTCTCCCCAAATATTACCTCCACATCCATGGGTATGCCTCATGCTGTGAAACAGCTGAAACATTCAAAGGACACGTAAACTCTGCCCTGGCAGCATCACCCCAGCCACTAACCTGACACCTCCAGCTCCACAATAACTTCGTCATAAGCATCAGCATCTCCCACAGTGCAGACGTACTGGCCATCATCTGAGGGTCTCAGCCCCGTGATTCGCAAGTCCAGGCTTCCAGCAGAGAGACCATCTCTGGCCAACTTTGTCCTCCCGGCATATGCCCCCATCTGCTCCCTGTACAGGTCCTCTTCATTGTGGTAGTGGTGCACTGTCTCAGAGAAATCGTTCCGGATCCACCTGACGTCCAAGCTGCGAGCATCGCGTTGAGGGGACAAGTGGCAGGGCAGCACGACATCCTGCCCCACCGCGGCAGTGACGGGGTGTCCTGGTCCCACCACTCTGAGCTGGGCTGGTTTGAGAAACAATGTTGTGTTTTTGCAGTAGAGAATTATTTTTCTGCATTTCAAGGTGTAGTCAGAATAAGCAGAAATGCTAAGTAGATAAGTGGACCGTAGAAAGCCTCACTGTTCCAAAATAAGGTAGAAGCTTGAGAAAAAGAGGATGAGCACTGTGAGAACAGGAGAACAATGATCAAAAGTTCTCAAAATATGAGAAAGGAATAATTAAAGTGTTGAAAAAAAAAAAAGAAAGAAAGAAAAATTATACATATATGGTATAGAAGAGTGTTGTGTGTCTTGTGAACCTTTAGTGCTCATCCAATGAGGAAACAGGGGAGGTGATCAGGTATTGGGTAATGGGGAATAAAAGGTTAGGATTTGTTTACTAAAATGTAGTCCTGATTGGCAGGACCATTGCAATCGTGAATAAAAGAGCGTCACAGAAGATCCTGTCTGAAGAAAATTATTTGAGATGTTTCTGACACTGGGTAATGGAGAAGGGCACAGAGAGGAGGTAAGATTTTGCCATCGTAAATTTAGGGTCAGTGAGTGACAAAGGGCGTGAGCTGGTGCGTGAGTTGGTGCGTGATGCGTCCCCCGTGTCCCATGGGATATGACCGGGGAAACAGGAGAGGGAGAGGGAGGACGTGCAGGAGAAGGAGGTGTGCTGGGAGTGGGAGCCCTCTCTGCAGCATTCGGGTGGGTGAAGGAGACACAGAAAGGGCAGGCAGGGCAGCAGCCATATTGTGTGAAAGAACCAAAGTGAAAGTGAAACTTGGCATGGGCGAGCTGTGGGCTCGGGTCCCCCCTTTCCCATGGCCGCTCCCCTGCCCCAAAGCAGCAAGTCTGCATGCAGAGGGGGGGAGAGTCCCCAGCAGCCTCTCAGGGTCCTACCTGAGCCCTGGTGGAGGAGGAGCAGAGTGACAAGGGAAGTCAGGAGGCCCCTGGCATGGTCGGTGAAGCTGTGGTGGCCGCAGCCCCAGGGGAGCCCCATCTGAGAGAGAGGTCCCCCAGGGGACAGGTGGCCCCCCAGGGGTTTTTCTCCAAGCCAAGAGAGATGTCCCTCACGGCACCCAGCAGAGCTGCAGAAAGTACAAGTCTCCGTCCAACTTTCCCAACCTTTGCCCAGTTCCTGGCTGCAATAACCCTCCTGGAGCAACTCTGCCCCTGGGGCAATGTCTGGGGAGCTCTGCAGGGCTGGCACCACCATCCCATTGCAGCTGGGTGCCCAGTCCACTGCTTTTAGCAAGCACGAGGTGCTTGACCCCAGTGGGGGCCTCTCCAGACCTCCAGGGATAGCCAGTGGCTAAGCTCGTTCATCTCCATGCATGCAAGGAGGAATCAAACTGTGAGCAATGGGAAAATGTGGAGAGATGGCAGTGAAGAGCTGAGCAGGATCGGAGGCTGCAGGGAATGGGACACAGCTGGGTGTCGAGCCCAGAGCTGCCACCCTTTGCCCAGGGTGCTGAAGGCAAAGTGCCAGTGCCTCTCCCATCTCTATTAAAGCAGCCGTGGCAGAAGGTTGGCTCAGATGGGCAGGGACCTTCTTCAAGAGCTTAGGTGGATAAGGAAAGTTCCTGTTTGCTGGAAGTGAGGTCAGTCAATATGGAAGGACTGCAGAGGTACTGTTTGCCTTTGTAGGGTGAAAATTCATATGGCCAAAGCTTAATTTGAGTTGAAGCTGGACAGTACTGTGAAGGGCAATAAAATGTTTTTTTTTTAAGAACTATCTTAACAGGTAAAGTAGGATGAAAGTAAGCATTGGTCTGTTACTTGATGGGGATGGTCAGACAGGGTCATTCACAGAGATGTTTAATGTTTTCTTTGCCTTCAACACTGATGATGGGCTGTGGGACTCCAGATGCCCTGAGCTGGAGGACAGTGACTGCAGGAACGATGAAGTCTCAACAACTCCGAATTTGTGTGGGATTTGCTGCTCCAGATGAATGCATACAAGACTATAGGGCCTGATGGGATTCATCCCAGAGTACTAAGAGATCTGGCTGAATGCATACATCTTCCCCTCTAGGCCCTTCACCATCTCTGTGGCTCTTCTCTGGACACTCTCCAATAGTTTCACGTCCTTCTTGTACTGTGGTGGCCAGAACTGCAGAGTCCTCGAGGTGAGGCTGCAGAGCGCAGATCAGAGCAGGACAATCACCTCACTCGAACCGACTAGCAATGCCGTGCTCGATGCACCCTAGGATACGGTTGGCCCTCCTGGGTGCTAGGGCACACTGCTGGCTCATGTTCAGCTTGCTGTCAACCACAACTCCCAGATCCCTCTCTGCAGGGCTGCTCTCCAGTGTCTCATCCCCCAGTCTGCACGTATAGCCAGGGTTGCCCCATCCCAGGTGCAGGACCTGGCACTTGCCTTTGTTAAACTTCATGCAGTTGGTGATTGCCCAGCTCTCCAGTCTGTCCAGATCTCCCTGCAAGGCCTCTCCACCCTCAGCCGAGTCAACAACTCTTCCTATGGGATGCCATCCTTCCCAAACTGATCCTACATGGGCTTCCCACAGGCAGCGGCTCTCCAACAACTGCCCCAGTATGGGTTTGTAGTATGGGGTACATCTGTCAGGAGCAAACTGTTCCAATCTGTGTCCCCCACAGGTGGCAGCTCCCCCCAGAGCACCTGATCCTGTGTGGGCTCCTCTCCATGGGCTGTGGCTCCGGCCTGGGGCCTGCTCCTGCGGGGACTCTCCATGGGCTGCAGCCTCCACCAAGTCCCTTCCACCTCCTGCACCGGGGGCTCCTCCATGGGCTGCAGTGTGGAGATCTGCTCCACCTGTACTCCCGCTCCATCCACTAACCGCCCCAGTCCCCTAACATCCCGTTTGACAGCCTTCAGGCTTCTCTCTTCAATGTCATCACTGCCAGCCTGGACTATCAAAAGAGGATAGCAGAACTGAGGCTTGGAGTCGACTTCCTCACCCTAGGCATCCTCTTGGCCACACTTTCTACCTCTTCCTCAGCTCCCATTCCCTCAAGTTCCAGGGCCTCCAACCTGTTGTGGAAGGGCACCTGGGAAGGTGGGGCCGGCAGAGGGTGGCATCGCCTGCGATGTCGAGCAGGGACCTGTCTCCATTCCTCCTCAACTCCTAGGTCCCCTCCCTCTGCCTGACAGCGACAGGGGAGGGGGTCCACCCCCATTTGGGGTGTCTCACCCCGGTACCTCTCCTTCAGGCCCCGCAGGGAGTTGCCCCACCACTCTATCTCCCGCTCACACTTCCTGATAGCCCTCAACCTCTCCACCTCCTCCTTGAGTTCTGCCACCAGGCAGACCAGGTCATCCACCTGCTCGCACCTCACACACACACAGTCTCTCTGCCTCCTGCAGATGGCAGCAAGAGGCTCAGACACTCCCACACCCAGAGACCTGAACTGGTGCATTTTTGAGCGGGCAGTCGGTCTGGGTGTGTACAGACTTGCTAGAGAGAGCACTGTGCCTGGTGGAGACCATTGCAGCCTATGTAGTGGTAGGCCGCCGTTAGAGGAGGTGTTCGTATGGGAGGGGGGGGAACACTGCCCTCCCTGCTCACCCTGCCTGCGTGAACTGCCTGCCACTCCCTTTTGATGCGCCATGCCTGTTTGCCCACCTGGGTCTCCGCATTCGTGGTTGTTGTGCTCCCCAGGGTCTGCTTTTGAACGGCCTGAGAGGGGGACCTGCTGGCTCTGCCAACGCTTTGTTAGACTCCCTGGCAATGGCTGCTGGGTCCTGGCAGGTTCCACAAGTGGGCTTGATGCCAGAAAAAAATTGCCCTGCCTGTGGGATCCCTTGCTCCGCTGCAGAAAGAATCTGCCCTGGAGGTGATGGCCTCGGCAAGATGTAGCCCAAGCATTGCATGGGGGTGTTGCACAAGGCTGTTGCAAAGTATGTTGCATTGGGGTGTCACATGGAGGATAGCAGAGGAGTGTTGCAAAGGGCAATGCATGGGGTTGTTGCAGAGCGTGTTGCATGGAGTTGTTGAATTGGGGCATTGCAAAGTGTTTTTGCAGAGCATGTTATATGAGAGTGTTGCACAGGGGTGTTGAAGAGCATGTTGCAAGGAGATGTTGCACTGGGAATTGCATGGAGGTGTTGCAGAACACACTGCATGAGGACGTCGCAGGGGGATGTTGCACAGAGCACTGCACAGCGCATTGCATTGCCTTTGCAAGGGGATGTTGCACAGAGCAATGCCTCTTGCAGGGTGTGGCACATGGGCGTTGCACAGGGCATATTGTGAGCATCGCATGGGGATGTCGCACGTGAAATCGCATGGGAGAATGCCTAGAGATTTGCACTGGAGCGTTACACAGGAGCATTACGTGGGGATGTTGCACAGGACAGAGAAAAGGGGCTCACCCACCACTGACCCCATCCCCAACCCTGCTCCAGCGCAGCCCCAAGTCCGCGGAGATGGGGAATGCCCGTGTGCCCATCCGACTCAGCTGCCACATCTGGGGCTTCTACCCCCCCGAGGTGACCGTCATCTGGCTGCACAACGGGGACATCGTGGAGCCCGACAACTACAACCCCATCTCCGCCATCCCCAACGGCGACTGGAGCTACCAGACGCAGGTGTCCCTGCTGGTGGCCCCGGTGGCAGGCGACACCTACACACGCTCGGTGCAGCACGTCAGCCTGCAGGAGCCTCTCCTGGAGGACTGGAGTGAGTGGAGAGGCGCAGGACCGCACCAGGAGGCCGGCGGCCTTGTCTCCTTGCTGCCACTCACCCGGCCGTGTCCCCGTAGGTCCTGGACTGATGCCGGAGGTGACGATACTGGTGGTGGTGGCCACCGTGCTGATGGTGCTGGGACTTGGCTTATTTCTCGCCGGCGTCTACCGCTTCAGGGCCAGGCCTCCTGCCCCGGGTGAGTGTCTGGGGAGAGCTGGGGCCGTGGTCAAGTGCAATGAGGACTCTGCTCACTCCTCTTCTCCCCCCCGCAGGTTACATTCCCCTCCCTGGAGACAACTACCCCGCAGGTAATTGTGTCCCCATCCCCATCCTCATAGGCGAGGGGCAAATTTCCCCATCTCTCTCCCTATGTGTCCCCCCTTTCCCCAGGCAGCATCTGAGGACCCCATGACGGACACCTCCCGGCACCGGCGGCTCCCGGTTGGCCCTATCTCAGACCCGATGCTGTGGTGCTGACAATAAAGATGCTCCACAAGCCCCGCTGGTGTCTCTGCAGTGTTCTGGGGACAGGGCAGAGGCTCACACACTCTTACGTTGTCTCACCAATAGGAGCGGGTGTGTGGGGGCCATGGCATGGGACCCCAAAGGGCCAAGCGTGCCATGGGGTGCCTCAGGCACGGCACTGCTGGCCGGCCAAGGGAAGGGATCGTCCCGCTCTTCTCGGCCTGCTGCGGCCTCGCCTCAAGCACTGCGTGCAGCTGTGGGCACCGCAGCAGACGAAGGGCGTGAAACTGTGCGAGAGCCTCCAAGGGAGGTCTACGAGGACGGCAAAGGCTCTGCAGGGCAAGGCGTGTGAGGAGACGGTCTGCTGCAAGACGCCTTCCCAGGCAGCAAGGCCTCAGGACACAAAGCACCCAGCAAATGCCACTGCCAGACTCCACCTTCCTGTAAAAAACTTTATTTGACAAAGTCCTGCTGCTGCTGGGTCTTGGATATATCTACTCCAGAGAAGGAACAAAGAGCCCCCACAGGCTGCTCATGCTCAGCACAAGGCGCAGAGCAAGGATCAACCTCGAACTAGGAGGCAAAGATGGCCTGCAATGGCTGGCAGCACACAGTGACCACATCCCTTGCCCTGGGGTCTGCAAGCAGAGGGGAGAGGAGCGTGGAGAGCTGCTGCAGCCCCTGTGCTTCCCGCTGGGGCTCAGAGGCAGGGTGAGAGCTGTGGGTGCCAGCAGGGCTTGTGCCCCAGCACAGGAGCAGAGTGCAGGACAGAGCCCAGGGGCTGCAAGGGGCCTGGCCCCTGCTTGCAGCATCCCAGCCCTCCTCCAGCAGCAGGGAGGAACACAAAGCAGCCCCTGGCCCCACTGCCCCTCATTCCTGTGCTGCTCCTGCAGGACCAAGGAGAGGTGATGCAGGAGTGTCTGGAGAAGGGCAGGAGCCCCCCAGGGCTGGGGACGGGGTCTTGGGGGTGCTGTCCCTCAAGCACAGCTGAATTCCCTCTGTCTCCACCCAGAACCAGGGGCGGATGCTCTCCCCATTGAAGGAGGCTGCTGTGAAAGTGAAGATCTGGACCCCATTGTCAGCGTTGATGAAAGACACCTGCTGCTGGGTACAGTCCAGACAGACCCAGATCCTTGTGGGGATAGGGGACAGGGACAAGGGGGTGGGAGGAGATGTGAGAGACTGGAGTTGTCCATGAAAGTACTTTACAGTCCAGATCCCTTCTTCAGGGTTCCTGTTTATCTCCCCCTTCCTCTTCACAGAGGCCCTGGCGACCCCCACAGCCCACCAAGAATCCTTTAGCTGCTCTCCCTCCACCTCCACCAACCAGCAGTGCCTCCCCTCTCTGAACTCCTCACGGCCCAGTACGCAGCACCAATAGTCAAATCTCTCCAATGTGTCAGGAACCTGCTGCCATTGCTTTTTCTTTCTTACACTCTTGTTATCCTGAGACACAACAAGCCGGGGATGAGCTGTGTCCGGATCCAGGGTCACCTTCACTGCAGGGACAGAAGGAGCCAGGCCATCAGGGGCAGAGCTCAGCCCTGGGCAGGCTTTCCCCAGCTCGGGGCCAGGAGCTGCCCCACGGGGCAGGAGATGGGGCACCTCTTGGCTCCTCAACATGCCCCAGCAAGGGCAGGAGAAGCACCTCAGAGGGCAACCCAATGCACACTTACCTGTATTATGAGACATCAGAAACCTTCTCCATGCTGGAAGGAGAGGGGAGAGCTGGTCACAGCCCATGGCTGGTGGCCAGTGGGTGTGGGCAGGGTGAGGGGCCAGCCCTGGGCTGCTCTGTCCCAGCTGCCCACCCTCCCCTGCACATCACCTTGGTGTTTCCCTGGGTTCTAAGTGCAGGGACACTTACATGTCATTTCTGCTGCCATGGCTAAACCCCAAAATTTTCGTTCTCATGTATGCGTACAGACCACCTTGCTCACAGACTTGTAGCGACCAGACTAATAACGACCGAGGCCCATCTTTTTGCAAGACTTGTAGCAGTCACTTGTGCAGCTCTCTGCACTGTGCCACCAAAACACAAGTGGAAGTGAATGGGGATGGGTGGAGGACGTCCCTGTCCCAGAAGCATCAGTGCAGAGTGGGGCAGCCCCACAGCTCACTCCCCGTCCCCACCTCGATCCCCGTTCCTTTCAGCCATCCCGGCGGTGTCCCGTGCCCATGGCAGCCCCAGCCCCAGCACTCCCCACTCCCACCCCAGGCTCCAGCTGCTCCTCCAGCACCCCCGAGCCACCAGCACACAAGCCCCCAGAGCCCACCCAGACCAGGCCCAGTCCCACCAGGGACACCACTTCCCCCAGGGGCTGGGGGCAGGGACTGCAAGGACTCACCCAGCTCTCGTCTCAGTGTCGCTGAAAAGCAAAGGCGGAGGAAGAGGTGGTGAGCAGAGCAGCTTGGTTGCTGGGTGGGAACATGTGCAGGGGGGCTGCACCTTGCCACCAGCCCCACGCTGCAGCCATGCTCCCTGGCCTCCCACCCAACACCATCCTAAGGCCTTTGGCATCCCCAGGAGAACATTCCCTTCCTCCTCCTATGCACCTCCCTGGGCCAGGGCTCAGCCCCGCTCCACACCCAGGGGGGTCCCTGCAGAACACCTCCCTCCGCTCCATCCCTGTGCTGCCAGCTTACCTTGCTTTCGAAAGAGATAAACACCGAGGCCAATGGACACAGCCAAAAGCACGAGGACCAGAGCCAGAGCCACCATCCAGGGCTGGGCGTTGTGGAAGAAGGGAGCTGAGAAAAGGCAGCAGGAAAAGGGCTGTATTTACATGCCTGGGATTAGAAAAGCAAGACCCAGACTTCTCCTGGGTTGGGACAAGTGCAGGGGCCAGGAACACCTCACCCTGGCTGTGCCATTTGTACCTGCGATGTGCAGGGATGATTCCCGCTCCTGCTGGAGGCGGCTGCTCCTGACCACGCAGGACAAGGGCCCCTCCACGCTCCCGGTCATGATGACAGCGCCTTCGATTTCAAAGAGCCCCTCCTGGTCCTGGGAATGTGTCTGGGGGTCCGAGGGCAGGTGCTGCCCGCGAGCATCCCTCCACAGCAGCTGCGGCAGCGGGTACCAGCCGGCCGATCGACACAGCACCCGGACGCCTCCGGCCTCGTAGCCCCCCAGGGAGAGGTGGGGGTCAGCGCCTGTGGCTGGGGGAAGGAGAGTGGCTAGGGCTTGACTTGGGGAGGGATTCATTTCAAGGCAAAGACCCCATCTGCTCCCATGCCAGACACAGTCCATCACAGGTATGGCTCCAGGGGCTCAATGACCAGGCACTCCACGCACTCACACTCACCCCAAAAACACCCTGCTATGTACCGAACCCAGAGAGCAAGGCTGCACAGTTCCAGTGGCTTGAAATTGCCCAGAAAAAACAAGTGCTGAGCTTCAGCACCTCCAGGCAGCATCTCTGCACCAAGCCGTGCTCGTTCAAGAAGCCCCGAGACTTCCTGACAACGTCTCATGTCTCCCCCAGCACAGAAAGCAAAAGTAAAGCAGACACCCGGTTGCTCAGAGGATTCTGCGATTCTCCCTGTGTGCTGTTTGGTCCCATTGCTGACACAGCTGAAGGTGCTGCTCAGCAGCCTGTGCCCAGTGCCCTCACAGTATTATGATTATTGTCTTCAAGGACACCAGTGAAAACTGACAAAACTCTCCAAGGAGCTCTCTCCCCAAACATTACCTCCACATGCATGGGCATGCTCCATGCTGTGAAACAGCTGAAACATTCAAAGGACATGTAAACTCTGCCCTGGCAGCATCACCCCAGCCACTAACCTGACACCTCCAGCTCCACAATGGCTTCCTTATAAGCATGAGCATCTTCCACAGTGCAGCTGTACAGACCATCATCAGAGGGTCTCAGCCCTGTGATTCGCAAGTGCAGTATTCCAGCAGAGATACCATCTCTGAGCAACTCTGTCCTCCCGGCATATGCCTCCATCTGTTCTCTGTACAGGTCCTCTCCATCGCGGTAGTGGTGCACTGTCTCAGAGATTTGGTCCCGGATCCACCTGACCTCCAAGGTGCGAGCATCGCGTTGAGGGGACAAGTGGCAGGACAGCACGACATCCTGCCCCACGGTGGCAGTGACAGGGTGTCCTGGTCCCACCACTCTGAGCTGGGCTGGGCAATGGAGAAGGGCACAGAGAGGTGGTGAGATTTTGCCATTGTAAATTTAGTGACAGTGAGTGTCAAAGGGTGAGCTGTGCATGAGTTTGTGTGTGCTGCATCCCCCATGTCCCATGGAAAACCACCAGAGAAAGAGGAGAGGGAGAGGGAGGATGTGCAGGAGAAGGAGGTGTGCTGGGAGTGGGAGCCCTCTCTGCAGCATTCAGGCGGGTGAAGGACACACAGAAAGGGCAGGCAGGGCAGCAGCCATATTGCGTGAAAGAACCAAAGTGAAAGTGAAACCCAGCACGGGCGAGCTGTGGGCTCAGGTCCCCCCTTTCCCACAGCTGCTCCCCTGCCCCGCAGCAGCACATCTGCCAGGCCCAGGCGGGAGAGCCCCCAGCAGCCCCACAGGGTCCTACCTGAGCCCAGGCGGAGGAGGAGCAGAGTGATGAGGGAAGTCAGGAGATCCCTGGCATGGTTGGTGAGACTGGTGCAGCCACAGCCCCAGGGTAGCTCCATCTGAGAGAGAGGTCCCCAGGGGGGCAGACAACCCCCCAGGGGTTCTTCTTGAAGGTAGACCCACTAAGATAGATGTCCGTCACGGCACCCAGCAGAGCTGCAGAAAGCACAAGGCTCTGCCCAACTTTCCCAACCTTTGCCCAGTTCCTGGCTGCAATAACCCTCCTGGAGCAGCTCTGCCCCTGGGGCAATGTCTGGGGAGCTCTGCAGGGCTGACACCACCATCCCATTGCAGCTGGGTGCCCAGTCCACTGCCTTTAGCAATCACGAGGTGCTTGACCCCACTGGGGGCCTCTCCAGACCTCCAGGGAAAGCCACTGGCTAAGCTCGTTCATCTCCATGCATGCAAGGAGGAATCAAACTGTGAGCAATGGGAAAATGAGGAGAGATGGAAGTGAAGAGCTGAGCATGATCGGAGGCTGCAGGGAATGGGGCACAGCTGGGTGTCGAGCCCAGAGCTGCCACCCTTTGCCCAGGGTGCTGAAGGCAAAGTGCCAGTGCCTCTCCCATCTCTATTAAAGCAGCTGTGGCAGAAGGTTGGCTCAGATGGGCAGGGACCTTCTTCAAGAGCTTAGGTGGATAAGGAAAGTTCCTGTTTGCTGGAAGTGAGGTCAGTCAATATGGAAGGACTGCAGAGGTACTGTTTGCCTTTGTAGGGTGAAAATTCATATGGCCAAAGCTTAATTTGAGTTGAAGCTGGACAGTACTGTGAAGGGCAATAAAATGTTTTTTTTTTAAGAACTATCTTAACAGGTAAAGTAGGATGAAAGTAAGCATTGGTCTGTTACTTGATGGGGATGGTCAGACAGGGTCATTCACAGAGATGTTTATTGCTTTCTTTGCCTTTGCCTTCAGCATCACTGGGCTGTGGGACCCCAAGTGCCCTGAGCTGGAGGACAGTGACTGCAGGAACGATATAGTCCCAACAAACCCCGAATTTGTGTGGGATTTGCTGCTCCAGATGAATGCATACAAGACTATAGGGCCTGATGGGATTCATCCCAGAGTATGAAGAGATCTGGCTGAATGCATACATCTTCCCCTCAAGGCCCTTCACCATCTCTGTGGCCTTTCTCTGGACACTCTCTAATAGTTTCACGTCCTTCTTGTACTGTGGTGCCCAGAACTGCACAGAGACCTCGAGGTGAGGCCGCAGAGCGCAGAATAGAGTGGGACAATCACCTCCCTCGACCAACTAGCAATGCCGTGCTCAATGCATCCCAGGATACGGTTGGCCCTCCTGGCTGCCAGGGCACACTGCTGGCTCGTATTCAGCTTGCTGTCAACCACAACCCCCAGATCCCCCTCTGCAGGGCTGCTCTCCAGTGTCTCATCCCCCAGTCTGTACATATAGCCAGGGTTGCCCCATCCCAGGTGCAGGACCCAGCACTTGCCTTTGTTAAATTTCATGCAGTTGGAGATTGCCCAGCTCTCCAATCTGTCCAGATCTCCCTGCAAGGCCTCTCCACCCTCAGCTGAGTGCACAACTCTTCCCAAGGGATGCCGTCCTTCCCAAACTGATCCTACATGGGCTTCCCACAGGTAGCAGCTCTCCAGCAACTGCCCCAGTATGGGTCTGTAGCATGGGGTACATCTGTCAGGAGCAAACTGTTCCAGTCTGGGTCGTGCATGCATTACAGCTCCACCCCAGACCTCCTGATCCTGTGTGGGGTCCTCTCCATGGGCTGTGGCTCCGGCATGGGGCCTGCTTCCGTGGGGGCTCTCCATGGGCTGCAGCCTCCTCCAGGCCCCATCCACCTCCTGCAACGGGGGCTCCTCCATGGGCTGCAGTGTGGAGATCTGTTCCACCTGTACTCCCACTCCATCCACTAACTGCCCCAGTGCCCTAACGTCCTGCTTGACAGCCTTCAGGCTTCTCTCTTCAATGTCATCACTGCCAGCCTGCACTATCAAAGGGGATAGTAGTCAGAGGGGCAAACGAGGTTGGGAAGTTTTCTGGCAATTTCCTTGACCCTGGCCCCAGGGAGGAAGCAGACTTCCCTACAGCTAGGGTCAGGCTGACAATTGGGGCCCTTTGTTCCCCTGAGAAGGGAGTCGCCTACAACAATCTCCCTTCTTTCTGTCCTGGTGGAGGAAGTCCTGAGGCATGGAGTCGACTTCCTCACCCTAGGCATCCTCCTGGCTACACTTTCTACCTCTTCCTCAGCTACTGGTCCCTCAAGCTCCAGAGCTCCAAACCTGTTGTGGAAGGGCACCTGGGAAGGTGGGGCTGGCAGGGGGTGTCATCGCCTGCGATATCGAGCAGGGACCTGTCTCCATTCTTCCTCAACTCCTAGGTCCCCTCCCTCTGCTCGACAGCGACAGGGGAGGGAGTCCACCCCCATTTGGGGTGTCTCACCCCGGTACCTCTCCTTCAGGCCCTGCAGGGAATTGACCCATCACTCTACCTCCCGCTCACACTCTCTGATGGCCCTCAACCTCTCCACCTCCTCCTTGAGTTCTGCCACCAGGTGGATCAGGTCATCCACCTGCTCACACCTCATGCACACACAGTCTCTCTGCCTCCTGCAGATGGCAGCAAGAGGCTCACGCCCGTGTGCCTGTGCGCCTCAGCTGCCACATCTGGGGCTTCTACCCCCCGAGGTGACTGTCATCTGGCTGCACAACGGGGACATCGTGGAGCCCGACGACTACAACCCCATCTCCGCCATCCCCAACGGCGACTGGACCTACCAGACGCAGGTGTCCCTGCTGGTGGCCCCGGTGGCAGGCAACACCTACACGTGCTCGGTGCAGCACGTCAGCCTGCAGGAGCCTCTCCTGGAGGACTGGAGTGAGTGGAGAGGCGCAGGACCGCAGCTGGAGGCCGGCAGTCTTGGCTCCTTGGTGCCACTCACACGGCCGTGTCCCCGCAGGTCCCGGACTGATGCCGGAGGTGACGATACTGGTGGCGGTGGCCAACATGCTGATGGTGCTGGGACTTGGCTTCTTTCTCACGGGCGTCTACCGCTTCAGGGCCTGGCCTCCCACCCCGGGTGAGTGTCCGGGGAGAGCCGGGGCTGTGGTCAAGGGCGACGAGGACTCTGCTCACTCCTCTTCTCCCCCCCGCAGGTTACACTCTCCTCCCTGGAGACAACTACCCCGCAGGTAATGGTGTCCCCATCCCCGTCCCCATCGGTGAGGGGCAAATCACCCCATCTCTCACCCTATGTGTCCCCCCCTTCCCCAGGCAGCATCTGAGGACTCCCAGATGGACACCTCTCGGCACCGGTGGCTCCCGGTTGGCTGCATCTCAGACCCGATGCCGTGGTGCTGACAATAAAGATGCTCCACAAGCCCCTCTGGTGTCTCTGCAGGGTTCTGGGCACAGGGCAGAGGCTTACACACTCCTACGGTGTCTCACCAAGAGGAGTTTCTGTGTGGAGGCCCCACATGGGACCCCAAAGGGCCAAGCGTGCCATGGGGTGCCTCAGACACGGCACTGCTGGCAGGCCGAGGGAAGGGATCGTCCCGCTCTGCTCGGCCTGCTGCGGCCTCGTCTCGAGCACTGCGTGCAGCTGTGGGCACCGCAGCAGACGAAGGGCGTGAAACTGTGCGAGAGCCTCCAAGGGAGGGCTACGAGGACGGCGAAGGCTCTGCAGGGCAAGGCGTGTGAGGAGACGGTCTGCTGCAAGACGCCTTCCCAGGCAGCAAGGCCTCAGGACACAAAGCACCCAGGAAATGCCACTGCCAGACTCCATCTTCCTGTACAAAACTTTATTTGCCACAGTCTACTGCTGCTGGGTCTTGGATAGATATACTCCAGAGGAGGGAACAAAGAGCCCCCACAGGCTGCTCATGCTCAGCACCAGGCACAGAGCAAAGATCAACCCCAACCTAGGAGGCAAAGGTGGCCTGCAATGGCCAGCAGCACACAGTGACCACATCCCTTGCCCTGGGGTCTGCAAGCAGTGCAAGCAGAGGGGAGAGGAGCGTGGAGAGCTGCTGCAGCCCCTGTGCTACCCACTGGGGCTCAGAGGGAGGGTGAGACCCGTGGGTGCCAGCAGGGCTTGTGCCCCAGCACAGGAGCCGCGTGCAGGGCAGAGCCCAGGGGCTGCAAGGGGCCTGGCCCCTGCTTGCAGCATCCCAGCCCTCCTCCAGCAGCAGGGAGGAACACGGGGCAGTCCCTGACCCCACTGCCCCTCATTTCTGTGCTGCTCCTGCAGGACCAAGGAGAGGTGATGCAGGAGTGGCTGGACAAGGGCAGGAGCTCCCCAGGGCTGGGGACGGGGTCTGGGGGGTGCTGTCCCTCAGGCACAGCTGAATTCCCAGTGTCCTTATCCAGAACCAGGGGCGGAGGCTCTCCCCATTGAAGGAGACTGCTGAAGTGTAGATCTGGACCCCATTGTCAGCGTTGAAGAAAGACACCTGCTCCTGGGTACAGTCCAGACAGATCCAGATCCTCGTGGGGACAGGGGACAGGGACAAGGGGGTGGAAGGATATGTGAGAGACTCTAGCTGCCCCTTAGAGTACTGCACAGCCCATTTGTCTCCGAAAAACTTTGTCCCTTTTGTTCTCTCCATAGAAGCCTTGATCACCCCCACAGCCCACACTGAATCCTTTATCTGCTCCCCCTCGACCTCCACCAACCAGCAGTGCCTCCCCTCTCTGAACTCCTCACGGCCCAGCACACAGCACCTATCGTCAAATGTCTTCCGTGTGTCAGGATCCTGGTGCCGTTCACTTTCCAGTCTTACTCTGCTGTTGTCCTGAGACAGGACATACATGTGATGAGCCATGTCCGGATCCAGGGTCACCTTCACTGCAGGGACAGAAGGAGCCAGGCCATCAGGGGCAGAGCTCAGCCCTGGGCAGGCTTTCCCCAGCTCGGGGCCAGGAGCTGCCCCACGGGGCAGGAGTTGGGGCACCTCTTGGCTCCTGAACATGCCCCAGCAAGGGCAGGAGAAGCACCTCAGAGGGCAACTCAACACACACCTACCTTTATAGTGAGGCAGCAGAAACTTTCTCCATGCTGCAAGGAGAGGGGAGAGCTGGTCACAGCCCATGGCTGGTGCCCAGTGGGTGTGGGCAGGGTGAGGGGCCAGCCCTGGGCTGCTCTGTCCCAGCTGCCCACCCAACCCTGCACATCGCCTTGGTGTTGCCCTTGGGTCTGAACACCGGGAGACTTACCCAGCTCTGCAGCTTGTTTCTCTACAAATGAAATAGAAAAGGAAAACATGAGAAGAAAGCACAGTTTCTGATTCCATACCTCTCGCTATGATGCCTTTTTTTTTCGTTGTTTTTTTCTGTTTGGAGAGTGAGACTTACCGAGATCTGCAGCTTGTTTATCTACAAACAAAATAGAGAAGCAATGCATCAATGAGAGGAGTCAGTTTCTCAACAATGAATGCTACAAACCAAAGACCCCCAATTCCTACAGTTGGGGGGAGGAAGAGAGACTCACCCAGCCTTGTATCTTTTTCCTCTGGAAAAGAAAAGCATAAGGAATGCATGATAAGATTTCTCACCCACTGTCTATGCAGAAAATTCTTTCAGGTTAGGGATGGACACTCACTCATCTCTGCAGCTTGTTTCCCTGGAAAAGAAAAAGAAAAACAAAAGCAATGTAAGGTCAGAGGGGAGTATGCTTGTGGGAAGACGCCAAATTCCTTCTCTTTGCGGAAGGAGACTTACCCAGCTCTGCATCCTTTTTCGCTGCTATAAAAAGCAAAAGGAATGAATGGTCAGAGTGGAGAGACTTTCAATCCAATGCTGCTTCCATGGCTAGATGGCTAGACCTCAAAGGTTTTGCTCTCATGCATGGGCACAGACCACCTTGCTCCCAGACTTGTAGCCACCCCACTAACAAAGACCTAGGGCCAGCATTTTGCAAGACTTCTAGCTTGAAGAACAGACACTTGTGCATCTCTCTGCACCGTGCCACCAAAACACAAGGGGAAGTGAATGGGGACGGGTGGAGGACGTCCCTGTCCCAGAAGTATCAGTGCAGAGCAGGGCAGCCCCGCAGCTCGCTCCCCATCCCCACCTTGATCCCCGTTCCTTTCAGCCATCCCGGCCATGTCCCATGCCCAGGGCAGCCCCAGCCCCAGCACTCCCCACTCCCACCCCAGGCTCCAGCTGCTCCTCCAGCACCCCCTGAGCCACCAGCACACAAGCCCCCAGAGCCCACCCAGACCAGGCCCAGTCCCACCAGGGACACCACTTCCGCAGGGGCTGGGGGCAGGGACTGCAAGGACTCACCCAGCTCTCGGCTCTGTGCCGCTGAAAAGCAAAGGCGGAGGAACAGGTGGTGAGCAGAGCAGCTTGGTTGCTGGGTGGGAACAGGTGCAGGGGGGCTGCGCCTTGCCACCAGCCCCACGCTGCAGCCATGCTCCCTGGCCTCCCACCCAAGAGGATCCTAAGGCCTTTGGCATCCCCAGGAGAACATTCCCTTCCTCCTCCTACGCATTTCCCTGGGCCAGGGCTCAGCCCTGCTCCACACCCAGGGGGGTCCCTGCAGAACACCTCCCTCCGCTCCATCCCTGTGCTGCCAGCTTACCTTGCTTTCGAAAGAGATAAACACCGAGGCCAATGGACACAGCCAAAAGCACAAGGACCAGAGCCAGAGCCACCATCCAGGGCTGGGCATTGTGGAAGAAGGGAGCTGAGAAAAGGCACCAGGAAAAGGGCTGTGTTTACATGCCCGTGGGTGGAAGAGGAAGACCCAGACTTCTCCAGGGTCGGGACAAGTACATGGGCCTCACCCTGGCTGTGCCTTTTGTACCTGCAATGTGCAGGGAAAATTTCCTCTCCTGCTGGATGCGGCTGTTCCTGACCACGCAGGACAAGGGCCCCTCCACGCTCCCGATCACGATGACGGCGCCTTCGATTTCAAAGAGCCCCTCCTGGTCCTGGGAATGTGTCTGGGAGACCGAGGGCAGGTGCTGCCCACGAGCATCCCTCCACAGCAGCTGCGGCAGCGGGTACCAGCCGGCCTATCGACACAGCACCCGGACGCCTCCGGCCTCGTAGCCCCCCAGGGAGAGGTGGGGGTCAGTTCCTGTGGCTGGGGGAAGAGTGCGTGTCTGGGGCTTGACTTGGGGAGGGATTCATTTCAAGGCAAAGACCCCATCTACTCCCATGCCAGACACAGCACAGACCAGCCATGACCCCAGGGGCTCAGGGACTGGATGCTTCAAGGAGCCACTCTTACCCCTAACCCACACCTACTCTTGGCACAGCTGAAGGACCTGCTCAGCAACCTGTGCCCACTGCCCACACAGCAGCATGGGGATGGAGTTCAAATAGGGTCCCTGAGACTGAATTAAATCATTGCATTCATGCAGCTCTCTCTCAATAAAAAACCTGCAAGGGCACAGGTGTACTTCTTGGTGGACAAGTGCTCACTGACATAGGAGAAGCCTCATCACACTCTACTGTGAGAAAGGCCTCGTAGATGGCCATGAAGATGGGACCGGGTCCTGCGTGGGACACACAGACCCGGGGACACCTGCACCATCCCTTGAATGCCTCAACCCAGCCACTAACCTGACACCTCCAGATCCACAATAGCTTCAGCATAAGCATCAGCATCTTCCACAGTGCAGAAATACAGGCCCTCATCAGAGGGTCTCAGTCCTGTGATTCGCAAGTCCAGCCTTCCAGAAGAGAGACCATCTCTGGCCAATTCTGTCCTCCCGGCATATGCCCCCATCTGCTCCCTGTACAGGTCCTCTCCATTGTGGTAGTGGTGCACTGTCTCAGAAATACGGTCCCGGATCCACCTGACCTCCAAGCTGCGAGCATCGCGTTGAGGGGACAAGTGGCAGGGCAGCAGGACATCCTGCCCCACGGTGGCAGTGAGAGGGTGTCCTGGTCCCTCCACTCTGAGCTGCGCTGTTGTGACAAACAATGTTGTTTTTGCAGCAGAGAATTATTTTTCTGTATTCCAGGCTAATTGTGTAGTCATAAGAAGGAGAAATGCTAAGAAGATAAGTGAACGACAGAAGGCCTCATTGTTCCAAAATAAGGTAGAAGCTTGAGAAAAACAGGATGAGCAGTGTGAGAACAGTAATACAAGATCACAAGTTCTCAAAACATAAGAAAGGAGAAATTAAAGTGTTGAAAAAAAAAAAAAAGAAGAAAAATTATACAAATATGGTATAGAGGAGTGTTGAGTAGCTTGTGAACCTGTAGTACTCAGCTAATGAGCAAACAGGGGAGGTGATCAGGCGTCGGGTAATAGGGAATAAAAGGTTATGATTTGTTTACTAAAATGTGCACCTAATTGACAGGACCGTTGCAATCATGAATAAAAGAGCGTCACAGAAGATCCAGTCTGAAGAAAATTATTTGAGTTGTTTCTCACACTGGGCAATGGAGAAGGGCACAGAGAAGAGGTAAGATTTTGCCATAGTAAATTTAGGGGAAGTGAGTGACAAAGGGCGTGAGTTGGTGCGTGAGTTGGTGCGTGCTGCGTCCCCCGTGTCCCATGGGAAATGACCGGGGAAACAGGAGAGGGAGAGGGAGGACGTGCAGGAGAAGGAGGTGTGCTGGGAGTGGGAGCCCTCTCTGCAGCATTCGGGCGGGTGAAGGAGACAGCGAAAGGGCAGGCAAGGCAGCAGCCATATTGCGTGAAAGAACAAAAGTGAAAGTGAAACCCAGCGCGGGCAAGCTGTGGGCTTGGGTCCCCCCTTTCCCACAGCCGCTCCCCTGCCCCACAGCAGCAAGTCTCTCAGCCAAAGGGGGAGAGCCCCCAGCATCCCTGCAGGATCCTACCTGAGCCCAGCTGGAGGAGGAGCAGAGTGATGAGGGAAGTCAGAAGTCTCCTGGCATGCCTGGTGAGACTGGGGCAGCCACAGTCCCAGGGGAGCCCCATCGGAGAGAGAGGTTTCCCAGGGGGCAGATGGCCCCCCCAGGTGTTCTTCTCCAAGGGAACCCCAACAAAAGAGCGAGGTCCCTCACAGCACCCAACCATGCTGCAGGAAGCACAGGGCTACGCCCAACTTCACAAGCCTTGTCCCACTTCCTGGTTGCAATAATCCTCTAGGAGGAGCTGTGGCCCTGGAGCAGTGGGGACAAGTTTCTGGGGAGTTCTGCATGCCTGGCACTGAGATGCGGAAGATGCTAAAACTGATCTGAATTAATATTTAGCTACATATATGGAAAAATATCCTGAATATTGGGGATGCTGTTGAGAACCTTAAAATATCCTAATTGTTGGGGATGGAGATGAGAACCTTATGAGAAGCAGACGTAAAAAGGAAGATATCACTCAAGGGCAACGGTGAGGGAAGGACAAACAAGTTGTTAGGGAGGGATGAACAACTTGTTGGCAGGAAGGAAGGCAAAGTTAAGCATAAAACTCCTCAATACTGTCCAACAAAGGTAATAGTATGGAAATGAGCACTTGGAAGAGGTCCACCTTTTCCGAGATGTTGTGGTTTAACCTGGCTGGCAGCTAAACACCACACAGCCATTCGCTCATTCTCCACCCTCCTTCTCTGGGATCACAGAGAGAACCGTGAAGTGAAGCCTGTGGATTGAGATAAAGTCAGTTTATTAAGACAGGAAAATAATAATAACAACAACAAGAATAATAATAGTACTACTACTAACAGTGTGTACGAAACAAATGATGCACAATGCTCACCACCCACTGACCGTGCCCAGCCTAACCCCGAGCAGTCTGCTCCCACCCCCCCAGCTAGCCACCCCTACAGATTGTTTAGCATGATCCGAAATGATACGGAATACCCCTTTGACCAGTTGGGGTTATCTGTCCTGGGTCTGTCCCCTCCCAGCTCCTGATGCACCCCTAGCCTGCACTCTGGCAGGACAGAGCGAGAAGCTGAAACATCCTTGGCTTGGTGTAAGCACTGCTCTGCAACAATTAAAACATCAGCATGTTATCAGCACTCTTCACATCCTAATAGAAAACATAGCACCCTACCAGCTACTAGGAGGAAAATTAACTCTAGCCTATCTGAAACCAGGACAGGGGAAAATAATGAATATGTATTAGAGCTCATGTAATATGTAACAGTGCTCTTTTTGAGGGAATCAATTCCCAATGTGCCTGGTGTACCGCAAAAATGTATACCTACTTTAAAACCTTATGGTTATGGAGTCTTTTCTGTGTGTCAGCACCACCATTCCACTGCAGCTGCATGCCCAGTCAAACACCTTCAGCAAGTAAGAGGGGCTTGTCCCCAGCAGGGGCCTCTCCAGAGCTCGAGTGAAAGCCACTGTCTAGGCTCATTCATCTCCACCCATCTAAGGAGGAATCAAACAGTGAGCATTGGGACAATGCAGAGCTGCATAATGTCATCTCGAGACCTTTCCAAATTCTATCTCAAGGGTTCTTTGGTCTTTAAATTTAAGCAGTCAAACATTGCCCCAGTTACCAAGAAGGTCAATAAAAATGTCCCTGGGGACTGACTTGGGGAGGGATTCAGTTCCAAGGCAAAGACCCCATCTGCTCCCATGTCAGACACAGCCCAGACCAGTCATGGTCCAAGGGTCTCTGGGACTGGGTGCTACATGGACCCACCCTCACCCAAAAACACCCTCCTATGTACCGGACCCAGAGAGCAAGGCTGCACAATTCCAGTGGCTTGAAATTGCCCAGAAAAACCAAGTGCTGAGCTTCAGCACCTCCAGGCAGCATCTCTGCACCAAGCTGTGCTGGTTCAAGAAGCCCCAAGACTTCCAGACAATGTCTCAGGTCTCCCCCAGCACAGAAAGCAAAAGTAAAGCAGACGTCTGGCTGCTCAGAGGATTCTGCAATTCTCCCTGTGTGCTGTTTAGTCCCATTGCTGACACAGCTGAAGGTGCTGCTCAGCAGCCTGTGCCCAGTGCCCTCACAATATTATGATTATTGTCTTCAAGGACACCAGTGAAAACTGACAAAAGTATCCAGGGAGCTGTCTCCCCAGATATTACCTCCACATCCATGGGCATGCTCCATGCTGTGAAACAGCTGAAACATTCAAAGGAAACGTAAACTCTGCCCTGGCAGCATCACCCCAGCCACTAACCTGACACCTCCAGCTCCACAATGGCTTCAGCATAAGCATCAGCCTCTCCCACAGTGCAGACGTACTGGCCATCATCAGAGGGTCTCAGTCTTGTGATTCGCAAGTCCAGGCTTCCAGCAGAGAGACTGTCTCTGATCAACTCTGTCCTCCTGGCATATGCCTCCATCTGCTCCCTGTACAGGTCCTGTCCATTGCGGTAGTGGTGCACTGTCTCAGAGATATGGTCCTGGATCCACCTGACGTCCAAGGTGCGAGCATCGCGTTGAGGGGACAAGTGGCAGGGCAGCACGACATCCTGCCCCACGGTGGCAGTGACAGGGTGTCCTGGTCCCACCACTCTGAGCTGGGCTGGGCAATGGAGAAGGGCACAGAGAGGAGGTGAGATTTTGCCATCGTAAATTTAGGGGAAGTGAGTGACAAAAAGCGAGCTGTGTGTGAGTTGGTGCGTGCTGCGTCCCCTGTGTATTGTGGGAAACCACCAGGGAAACAGGAGAAGGAGAGGGAGGACGTGCAGGAGAAGGAGGTGTGCTGGGAGTGGGAGCCCTCTCTGCAGCATTCGGGCGGGTGAAGGAGACACAGAAAGGGCAGGCAAGGCAGCAGCCATATTGCGTGAACCAAAGTGAAAGTGAAACCCAGCGCGGGCGAGCTGTGGGCTCGGGTGCCCCCTGTCCCACAGCCTCTCCCCGGCCCCACAGCAGCAAGTCTGCATGCACAGGGGGGAGAGCCCCCAGCAGCCTCTCAGGATCCTACCTGAGCCCAGGCGGAGGAGGAGCAGAGTGACGTGGAAAGTCAGGAGGCCCCTGGTGCGGTCGGTGAAGCTGGGGTGGCTGCAGCCCCAGGGTAGCACCATGTGAGAGAGAGGTCCCCCAGGGGACAGGTGGCCCCCCAGGTGTTTTTCTCCAAGGCCAGGTAGGTGTCCTTCACAGCACTCAGCAGAGCCGCAGAAGGTACAAGGCTCCGCCCAACTTTCCCAACCTTTGCCCAGTTCCTGGCTGCAATAACCCTCCTGGAGCAGCTCTGCCCCTAGGGCAATGTCTGGGGAGCTCTGCAGGGCTGGCACCACCATCCCATTGCAGCTGGGTGCCCAGTCCACTGCCTTTAGCAAGCACGAGGTGCTTGACCCCACTGGGGGCCTCTCCAGACCTCCAGGGAAAGCCACTGGCTACACTGGTTCATTTCCATGCATGCAAGGAGGAATCAAACTGTGAGCAATGGGAAAATGTGGAGAGATGGCAGTGAAGAGCTGAGCAGAATTGGAGGCTGCAGGGAATGGGGCACAGCTGGGTGTTGAGCCCAGAGCTGCCACCCTTTGCCCAGGGTGCTGAAGGCAAAGTGCCAGTGCCTCTCCCGGCTCCAGTAAAGCAGGCATGGCAGAAGGTTGGCTCAGATGGGCAGGGACCTTCTTCAAGAGCTTAGGTGGATAAGGAAAGTTTCTGTTTGCTGGAGGCAAGGTCAGTCAATATGGAAGGACTGCAGAGGTACTGTTTGCCTTTGTAGGGAGAAAATTCATATGGTCAAAGCTTAATTTGAGTTGAGGCTGGAAAGTAATGTGAGGGGCAATAAAAGTTTTTTTTTTTTTTTTTTTTTTTTTTTTTTTTAAACTATCTTAACAGCAAAAGTAGGATGAGAGAAAGCATTGGTCTGTTAC